GGTAGTGTGCAGGCAGACGGACGACAGAGAGACAAAGAAAAATAAAAAGAAAAGGGGGGGGGGGTGGAGGCGAGGAGAGGAGGAAACGGCTTCTCCAAGTGCTCGAACTTCCGGGCCGAAATAGGCGTCAGGAAAGGCGCCTCCCTTCCTCGCGGCACCTGAGCTAGCGCGCCGTGTTCTTGTGCCGCCCAGTTCCGCCCGACGAGCAGACGGACGGGAGCAGGCGCCGCTCTTTATAACGCAGGGTCGACGGTTTTCTCGTCTGCTCCACGAGTGTCTGCTGGGCAGGTAGCTCCCGATGACGCCGCCTTCTAAGAAAAGGGAAGCTTTTGGCACGTCTGCTTCGTGTTCTGATAAACTCGGAAGCTCCCAGAATGGGTCGCGAATGAAGCCGGTCACATTCTAGCTTCGTTCGATGTACCCGCACCTCCTGCGTACTTCCGGTCGTGGTCTCAATACACGGATCGGAAGTACACTGTCCTACGCTTTTCTGCATTGGTGCAGGCAAATCGAACGAACCTACTGTGTGACGTCACTTGACTTCAAGAAGCTACTGTGTGACGTCACGTGACCTCAGGACGTTGTGCAACGCCATGGTGTCGCCATGACGTCTTGTGGGATCATGACGTCAAGTTTACACGAGACCTTGACCTGTGTGTCGGTCTTGCGTGACGTGTCGTCGTTGTTACACGTGAAAATGAGTTGCATGGATGTTTACACAATGGAAAGGTATTCTGCATTGGAATAGACTTCTATCTCCACTGTAGTGGGGCAAGCAATTTGACTAATGCAGTGCATGTCTGTCCTTGCAGGCACGTTGGCTCCTCTTTGCCTCCGGCACGCGTTTTCTGTTGGAAAGAAATGACGTCTTCCGATCGCTCTCATTAAAACAATTAAAAAAAAAAAAACATACTTATAAAACCCGACCCCCCCAAAAAAAAAGACAACGTTACCACCTTATGCGGCCAAAGTTCGGTGGCCTTCGTTAGAAGCCGTCTGCCTGGAAAGTTGTTTTTGCCTAAAACACCGATGTTTTGCGGAGCAGCCCTTCGATCGTTTGAGAGGGTTAGCGCTAGAAATGCATATGAATCAAACCCGTCCCGGAAACGACTAAGGAGTTACATTGTGCGTCGCTTGAAGTATCAATAAAAAAAAAAAAAAAGAATAAACGAGACTAAATTAAAGACGTGTGGTTTTAAAACCCTGGCGAAACATATTGAACATTGTGACATTGTGAACAACAAACTGAACAAGGACGAAGAGGCACACACATACGCCAGGACTGTCGCTGACTTCCAACTAAGTTTATTTAAAAAAAAAAAACACACAATGTGTACCATTGCCCATGAAAAAAGTACAAATAATACAAAAATTGTATAATAAAATACTTACCTGCTTCGCGCCAATCGAATCGGATAAGGCCACAAAGGAAAGAGACTTCTCTGTCAGTGAGACACACCGAAGACATGCTGACTCACTTGTCTACAGCCTTCCTGATAAGAAAAAGAACGCCTCTAATATTTCTCTCTCCGTTTCGTCCTTTGCTCTCTTTAAGAACTTAGTCATTTTCAAAAGCGGTTCACCCCCCTCAGCGCTTAGTGCCCAGCAAGATGACCCCTAGATGGTTTCGTACCTATAGGCTATGTTCGCGAGCTCTGTCATTAAAACATCGCATTGAACACGTTTATTTTATGTGTTTTTGTGTGAAATTTTATGCATACGAGGCACGATTTGCACTGATTTTTTGTTAATATGTTCGCGAGTACCTTTTTTTTTAATGTAACACTAATTTTGTTGTAAAAGGCTCTCGCAAAGACCTGATAGTAACATGGTAAGGTACCCCACATATTTTAACTTCTTGAACTGGAGGTCGAAGCAGGTTGACGTTTTATGCTCTCAACGTTTTGTAGGGGCTGCATGTAAGCAATTGCTGGCTCTTGCTTGCTTAGTGACTGGCTAGGTACGGTGTTAATTGTCTTTTTTCTTCTGCTCCTTGCAAGCTTGGCAAAATATGTTCAATGCTTACTAAAAAAAAAAAATCAATGCGCAAGAAAAAGCAAGAAAAAAAAGTGGAAGCCGTTTACAACTCCCTGTAACACCGAATTAGAGCGCAGCTCTTGAGGAGGAGGAGGGAAGGGTACTGGGGGGGGGGGGGGGTCACGTGACCTTGGGGGGTCACATGACGATGCAATGATGCCATCAGTGACGTCACTGATGACGTCACCAGTGACGATGACGATGCGGATTCCGATGACGTCATCAGTGACGTCACTGATGGCGTCATCAGCGATGATGACGATGACGATACGGATGTCAGTGACGTCACTGATGACGTCATCCGTGATGATGACGATGCGGATGCCGGTGACGTCATCAGTGACGTCACTGATGACGTCATCAGTGATGATGACGATGCGGATGCCGGGGACGTCATCAGTGATGATGACGATGCGGATGCCGGTGACGTCATCAGTGACGTCACTGGTGACGTCATCAGTGATGATGATGATGACGATGCGGATTCCGGTGACGTCAACAGTGACGATGACGTCATTGGGGAGGTCACGTGACCTCGGCGGGTCGGGTCACGTGACCCTGGGGGGTCACGTGACCTTGGGGTGACCTTGAGGTGACCTTGGTTACGCCGACGCCGACGGCGACGCCGACGCCACTCAAGCCGGGAACGGGCCCCTAAGAGCTGCGCTCTAAAACAAACACAGCAGGTTTTTCTGTATTGACTGCACAACTGGGGCTATATATGAAATTCCTTTTAGCTGTGGCCGCATTTAGATTGGACGAACAGGTCGGTGTTTCAATAACGGAGTTTGCGAGCATCGTCTATCGATACTAAGCAATCTACTAGGTGGTCACCGCTTTTGAAAAATGACCTAGTTGCTGAAGGACTACAAAAGACAAAACAAAGAAAAATAGGGGATTTTTTTTTTTCCTTATTGGGAAGGCTGGAGACAAGTGAGTCAGCATGCCTTTTGACAAAGGAAGTATATTTTCTTCAATGTTTTTATCTGGTTCGATTAGCGCGGGGTAGATAAGTGTTTTATCGTATAATTTTTGTATTTGTTCTATTTGTGTGTGCTTTTTCCCGCAGGCGATGGTATATATTGCTCGGTTTGATGTTGCGATAAACCTTAGTTGGAAGTCAGCGCCAGTCCTGTCGTATGTGTGCCTCTTCGTCCTTGTTCAGTTTGAGCTGTTTTAGTAACGTCAAGTGTGAACCAACTGTTAGCCCAATCAAAAGTCGCGTCAAATATTGCGAGTAAGTGTACACAGGGAGGAAGATATGCATATTATAACATATGCTGGCGGTGTTTGGTCCGAGCTGTATAGATGGGCGATTTGGCCATGGAAGCACGGCGGCTAAGCTGGGTTATTTAACGTGCATAACAGAATAGAGATTACACGACTGCACGCGCCGACAACGATCGTCCCTGTCTAAAGCGATAGCGGTGTATCGGCATCACTGCGGTGCTTCGGAGCGTTGCGTGGAGCCGACTCACAGGGAGCGCCGAACGGCCCACTGCGCCATTACTTGCCGGCAGGTCCCGTTCCTAATGGCTCCCGTGGGCCCTGTTGTTCGGATGACGAACGTCTCGCTTATTCTTGCCATCAATATTATACGATCTAGCGGACTCCATCCCTTTCGACGTGACTTTCGGCGAGGCCGTTGTGTTGCAATTTATGACCATCGTGAAATTGGCCCTAGCTTCTCTGTTTTTTCTCCTTGGCCAGAGTTCAAAGTAGGGTCATATGTCCTGCACATTTGAGCGCGTAGTGTCTGGCCATATTTCGTCTACTATAGAACATACTGTAGTTCTTGTCTGGTGCATCAAATAAGTGTTCTTGTTGTGCACTGCGCAAATACGGCGTCAGCGGGTTTTTTTTTTTTTTTTTTTTTTTTTAGTTTTTAGAGAGGCAAGTTAGTATAAAACTTTTAAATTTGTCACGAGGTTAGATTTCCGCTTAAGAACATTCTACTATACTAGTTGTTTTGAACATAGGCTTGTAGCAACGACAACAACTGGTGATTGGCTTGTTGATGCTAGATGTGTTGTTGTTATCATCTGATGTGTAGATCACCTATGTTTAGAATCATTATTTTATGAGAAGGAATGGTTTCTAAAAGGAACATACAGGTTTGCGCACCACGTAAAAAAGCACATTGGTATGTTCTTGCATTTCTCCTTTAAGTTCCTAGCGTGGAATATTTTCAGTTTAGTTTGTAACAGGAGGAGGTAGGTAGTATGCGAGCCTCTTACTCAAATTTTGTGTAGCCTTTCGAATTGAGTTTTAACTTCGTAACAAAACAACGTAAAACAAAAACAAAAATTTACTGCTAGTAGAGGCAACAAAGCTTTCGTTAAAAAGTAGACACTAATCACTCGCAATGGCTGCACGGCAACAGGACTGCGTTGTCCGCATCGCTAATTTTCGTTCGTCGCATTAGCAGTGATGAAGACGGCATTCTAATTGCACGAGCGGCGGCGGGGGCCGACCAACTACGCTAATGCTCTCTCAATCCATCCACCCTATTTGTATGTTATTTTTTTTTTTTCTCGCTTAGGTTCATTGTTCTGCTACCTTTCCGCCCAACGCTCCGAGCCATCGGAGGTTAAAGACGCCGCCACTGATATGTTTTCCTGGTCACGTCGTCCCGCCGTTCCCCTCCCTTCCAGTAGTAATTTTTCTTTCTTTTTTTTTTTTTAAACCTCCTCCTAGCTTCTTTTTTTCTTTTTTTGGGTCGTTAAAATTAAGGGGTTAGCGTGTCAGGCGGACTCCTCGCACCACAGCGTAGGGCACAAAAATACGGGGACAGTTCGCAATTAAAAACGCGGCGGCACAGTCGTGTGTGACCTTTTCCCATCGTCGAACTTCACATTTCTCGCTGCGTGCGCTTGCCCACACAGCACACGCGATGATGCGGGATTTAGTTTTCCAGACGAGCCGAGAGATGGAGCCAGCTGTCGGAGGTGCGCCGCCGAGTCACGTGACGGGCTACCATAACAGTCGCAGATGGTCGGTCGATGTGTGTAGGTCTCTTCTACGGGTACCGTTAGGAAGTCTGTCGAACGCGTGGATTATCTTCTGCTAGCCGCTGATTTCGTCTTTGAATGCGTGCTGCTTTCATGTAGCCCTGTGCGGGTGTGGTAGTTTTCGCAGGATGAGCGAGTGAGTGTTTGCCCCGCGAGCGAGGAACATCGAAGTGTTGCTTCCACGAGCGCTGCGAAGCGAGCGGCAGGGCAGGCAGTGCGTGCGCTGGCGGCGATATTTCCTCGCGCGCTGGTCTTCATGGCTCCGCCGATTTAGGCGCTGAGGGGGTCTGTGGATTAAATTATGGGGTTTAGGCCGTGCGAGTGTGTCCGGACGAAATGGAAGCAGTGGGCGCTGGCTGGCACGCTGGCGCACTGCATTTTCTTCGCAACTGCATTCGTCGTGAGTAACGGATCGTTGTGTGTTCCTCCATCGCGTGACTCACGTTTCAGTTTGTTTTTATTAGTTTTTAGTTTATTCCGTATTGTACGCGGTTTGAGCTCTACTTGCGTCGTAAAATCTCAAATCTCGCATATTGATCATATCCTTTCTGAAGCATTAATTACTCGTGTATGAATTCTCCTTTACCGATTTTTTTTTCCCTCTGAGTGCATCAAGTTTAATTGATTATGTTGTAGATCAATAAAACGTATCGTGGATGAAAAAAAAAAAATAGGGAAGGTGCAGTCATTGATTTTTGCATGCATCCTCAAAGACGATGCTCGATTTCCATGCTCGAAAATTTCGACCCATATCTTTGTAGTATAGTAGTTAAAAGGGCAAGGGGTCATTTTTATGAGCTCGCTACGCTGCGAAGAGTCTAGGCTATTTTACAACGTCGTTGAGCAGACGCTTTTATAGGGCCGTAAACAGCTCTTCCTCGGCGTTGCCGTGCCTCGGCGTCGAGACGTCCGTTATCTCCGCGGGTATAACAGTCAAACGCTCGATTGTTTACTGCGAGCCCTCCGGAATACTTCCGTTGTGGCCCCTGTCCGACTGTAGTCACTGACAGGATGAGAAGGGCAGTGAGGAGTCTCACTTGTCCCGCCCCCGGCGCGAGCTTCCGACCTTCGATAGCGCTGCGGCGTCTCGTGAGCATCGAGCGTGCACGCGCAGCCGAAGCACGGCGGAAGGCGAACGAGCGCGTGCTGGAGGCCAGGCATTCCAAGAAAGACGCCCCGCCGTTCTCATTCTGCCGGCGACTACACTGCGACAGAAATGAGCTAGTTTCGACGACTGGAGCGTTCTTGCAGGGCGCTTTCGCAGACGTAAACTTTTGGGGACATAACACATCTTTCAATCTGTCAAGGGCCCTGTGACAGGGACTTATACGGAGAGCAAGTCGTCTGATTCTTTCTCAGGAGTTGCGGTGACGTCAGAACAACGTCGAGCTCTGATTGGCTTTGATGGAAAGGGTACCCACTACTTATTTCAACCAGCCAACAAAAGCTCGGCGTCGTTCTGACGTCGCCGCACCTCCTCCGCAAGGAGCAGACAATTTGCGCTCCCTATAAACTTCGCTTTTCTGTGCCAGCCCGGACCAGAGCTTTGAGTCTGGCAGGTACGGCTGAGAAGCGCGGCGGACTCTCCACACTCGTATTGTTTGCAATACGAGGAGCAAGTCGTCTGCTTCTTAAGCGTAGGAGTTGCGGCAACACCAGAATGACGCCACACTCTGATTAGCTTTTGCCTCGAGGCCTACACACTATTTCTTTGCAGTCGGCCAATAAAAGCTCGGCGTTCTGACATCCTCGCAACCCCTGTGCAAGAAGCGGACAAACTTGCCGTCTGACAAACTTGATGCCACGCAAAAACACTGCGTAGGGTGTTTTTGCGCGACATCAATCTGCCATTTTGTCCTTAGACGTCAGCATGGTGAAACTCGTAAGCTTTTTTTTGTGCGCTATTGATTTGAGGGTACAATGTCGATCCTCGGAATGCTCACTTTCTGCCTGTGCCAGAATACTCATAACGCTAAAATGGTGGACGGAATCACGGCGCTGAAAACGCCCTATTGCGGGCAATAATAGTTTGAAGGGTCGCCGACTGGCCACGACACGTTTGTATCAATTTGGTATTGTGGAAGACGACTTGAGATTGCCAAAAGGCTTTTTTTTGTTACGTTGCCAGTCAAAATCCGGGTCTGTCGCTTTTGCAGTGCATGCGCTGTTAAACAATGCCAGCATTTTGTTTTTATGTACACTTTACTTAATTTTGATAGGTTTTTTTTATGGAGTGAAGTTTGTATTGTGCCAATACATGGACAATAGACATTTTTCCAAATTATCTGAGCACCACGGACGATGCTGGGAATGTAAATAAATGTGCTTGCCTTGTCAGTATAAAAAATTTTAAGTAAATGATCAAAGTAAGGCATTGACGAATGCACATGCAAAGTGCCATTTCTTTTTCGAGTTTGGTTTAGAACAATTACTGCTGCAGACACCAGCATGTGCGGCATGTGTAATACACTCATGGCATGCTCCTTGGTAGTTGGGTAATTAAGCAAAATATCTATCAGTGCAAACATTATTACTAGTTTTGCTTGTCCTTCTCACATGAGACTAACAAGCTGCCCTCAAATGATGAGTGTAAAAATTTAAGCAGAATATTACAGTGCTGCTGCCACTTTTTGTTTCCTGGGAAAAGATGCAAGCTTGTTCAGAAAACAGCAGCTCTTTTCAGTACCAACCTCTGATAGATTGTTGCCATGTAGTCCCCTCTACTTTTCAGTTTCTAAACTAGCATAATCATTCGTCGTAGGATTGCAATGGAGTCGGTTTGAATGGCATGGTTCATTGCCTAGGATGAAGTGATCCTCTTGAAGGATTTCTTACATGCAGAAATAAATCTCATTTGCATAAAAGCCAAAAGACAATCTGGATCATCTTTAAAATACCGGCTCTAGGTAGCTGTTGTGCTCTCGAAATAACTCTTGTTTACGTAGTGAAGGAGGTGACCTTCGAAAATAACTTTTGTTTACGTGGTGAAGGAGGTGGCCTTGGACTTTCGTAAATGATAGCCCTAGGAGGAAGCAGAAGTGCCAGCCTGGATCTTTGCCAAGGTTTCTTGATTTCCTTTTGGTAACATACATGCATGGAAAAGGTTGTCAGTTAAGAAAGTCTGTCACTTCTGTGAGTGGTTATGGTTTGAAATCACATTAATAATTACTCATACTTGGTTGAGTTGCATTTTAATGCCCACAGCTCTTGCTTTGCAGTATACGTCTTGAGTCTTTTTGAGGTCTCCATCAGTTTTTATCTGTCCACCCCCGCTTGTAAAATTTGGATTGAACATGGAGGATAATTTATCTTTCTTTTACTACTTGAAGCACCCTGCATGTTATAACAAGTATTTAGTGTTTGAAAATATGTGAACTCCGAGGTCTTGAAATGTTTTTGGGATTGGATGGTCATTGACTAACCCCAGCCATTTTCCTGACCTTGGCACTCCTGCCTCCGCAACACTAGTAGGCAGAGGATTGTGAAGGAAGATGCCACTCTCCTGGTAAAATCAATTTTAAAGGAGCTGTGCCACAATTTCAGTGCCTTACTCAAATAATTTGGTAGTTGGTGTCTCAACCTTTCTGAAGTAAAGAACAAAAAAAGAAAAAAAAAAGCTTTTGCCTGCATGTTTTCGTTTTTATTTTAAAAAATGACTAAGATTGAGGTTTTCGGCACCTTTCAGCTCCTTCACCATCTTCCGAGTCTCGTGCGCTGTGACGTGAATGGGGGACGCGCGAGGTTGCTGTGAAGCTCTCTCTCTAGAGCCATGAGTGAGCAGTGAGAACTCATTGCTCGCGACCACGTGACCACGTGCTTGCACAGCGGTGTTTTCACAGCGCGATCAATATAGCGAAAGGAGGAAAGTCTTGCCCAGGTCCGGCTGTCCCCGTTCGGCTCTGCCCCCGTCCCCCTCCGGCTTCTGCCGGCTGTTTGTGGTAGCAGATACAACTGACGGTTTTGCTGACGTCGGATAGATGGCGTCGCTGAAACTCCGGATAATAAAAGTTTTGTCGATGATACCAGGTTTTTTACGCATTTATATTTATGTTGGAATGACAAGAGTTATAGAAGAATTACCTCTTATCGAGCAGGTATTTGCTCAACGTCCTATCGTTTTACAAGTCCCCCATTGACGTCACGCCGCGCATTTCTCATCGCCGTCGCTCACATTTGCAAGTCGGAAAATATTTTAATTTTTGCCTCATGATTTTGCGGCGGAATCGCAACATTTCGAAGGAAGGAGATGTGTTTTCTGTCTTTTGTGATAAGATAAACAATGTCAAAAGTAGAACATGCAAATTCTTTCACTGTTAAAATCGTTGCGTAGCTCCTTGATGAGATTTTGTTTTCTTGTGGTCTGGAAATAATGTTATGCATCCATTTGAATAGAGCCATTGCCTTTAACCTCTTTGCATTCTTTCGTACGCTCATTATCTTGCTTAAACCTGACCCCATTCTTTTGTACTCATTTCAAATTGTGATCTATCCAGTTTCTTTTCATCATATTCAAGAATACATTCACCGATTCAAGTTGCTTCAGTGTCTTCCCTGCGAAACGATTCAAAATGTTGATTGCCGTCCAATTCACAACATTGAGTTACTGAGCGGGGGGATCGGTGGCTGAGTGTATTAACGCGCCGCAGCTCGGAGTGCATAGAGCAAAAGCTCATGCTGCAGAACCCAGGGACCCTGGGTTCTACCCCACCCCTGCCCGTTTCGATCTGGATGAGCATCGTACCGGCGTGCGGTCGTGTATCAGTACTGCGTGGTGCAGCTTAAAGACCCCAGGCTGGCAGTGGTACTGCTCTGGCTAAATTTCTCATCTGTAGCTGAGGCACCACACACCCACTGGGGCTGACTAACTCCCGGCTGTCTAAACATACACACAACACAATCATTTATTATTATTAATTACTTCTGAGACCGATTGTGTGTTTGTGTACAGCTTGCGGGCATAGCAATTAAGGCGTGCCCCACTAGGCTTGTGCCACTTCAGTTTGGTCCCTGGGAAATAGCCCAAAGTGTCAATTGCTCTCCAATTCGCAGCATTGAGATGTGGTGGTGGGTGTGAGACGTCTAACGAACAATGGGGTGCTGGGTGGTTACTATTTTGTATGGCTCGGTTCTAATGGTGGTGGTGAGATGGAATTGATGAAGTGTTAGAACACATCAAGTAAAGGGCTGTCCACACAGGACACAGCAAATGCTGTGCACAACATTTGCTGTACTGGTAGTGGAGGTTTTCCCCTGGTTCTGGTCTGGTTTGGGACGTTTTTATTTTTGCTGGGGGGGGGGGGGAGAAGCTCTGCTTTGCTTGCGTTTTTGGACAGGGACTTGAAACGTCTCGAAACGTGCCTGTCACCTTGATCTGGGCAGCCACTCATACGTTTTACTGGTTGTTGGCAAGGCCTCTGCTGTTATCAGTCCCCAGTCTCCCGAAAACAAGAAAGGGAAAGGGGCAAGGAGGAAAGCCACGCTGTTTGTTTGGTTGACATCCAAACTCAAAACGAACACCCATACACCTCAACGTTAGCGTTTTTCAAAGCGTATGTGCTTTTTGTTGCGCACAGCAATTACTGCATTTTGTTTGAACAGCCCTTTACAGAGCTTTCCCTGTGCGGCAGTGGTGACAGAGGAGGCTTTTTTTGTTCCCGTGTCTTGTTTCTGCAACTGACTGTATGCCCTCTGTGTGCAGCTGGCGGGCATAGCAGTGGTGGTGGTCTCGGTGATGCTGCTGCTGGACAGCAGCAAGTACCTGGCCAACGAGGGAGAGGATAGCCAGATGTACTACTCCATCATCTACATCCTGCTAGGGGCGGGCTCCTTCATGGCCATCGTGGGCTTCCTCGGCTGCTGTGGGGCCCTCAGGGAGAGCCCCTGCATGCTGTGCACTGTGAGCATGAAGACATAACTCTCTGGATACATTGTTTGCAATGAACTTGCCACTCTGCATGTCACCCTTAAAGGGACACTCAAGTGCTTTCTTGTACAAGCTTGTTTTTGATGGCGTATTGTTTGTTGGGCTTTAGTCAATAAATATCACCAGTTCTAGATAGCAAGACGTCCTAGTAAACTCACTGAAGTAGGAATACAAGGGTCCTATTTTCTCTTGGAGGGGGGGGGGGGGGGGGGGGGGGGGCGGTACATGGGCAGCTCTGGGTCTACAGCATCTCTATAAAATATTTGACCAGTGAAATCCAAATGTTTTATTGCTGCTCTATTTAGGCGCTCCGTGCATTATATTTTGCCAAAAGCTTCAAACCTTTGGGTGTGGGAGACGTAATACAGAAATTATTTTTTTGAAAGCGCCATCCTGGTGTCAGTTGCGCAAGGCAGAGAAAAAGGGGCATGTCACAATATTTAATTAGATTTTTAATAGGGAAATCGGTCGCCCCTGAGTGTAATTTCAAGTTTTTCAAGGTGCTTGGAGCCCATAGGCTGAGTCGTCATTATAAACAGACGATCTCAGGATCCATTTTAGCGCCCCCTTAAGACTGGCTCAAACCTTTGCGCTCGAGTTCGACCGACCTCGTTAAAAATTCTTGTGTTCCACAACTTGACACCGTGACGTCGACTCACATGACCAGATTAGGTGACATCGGGTGACGTGACGTCGGTTACAAAACAAAATGTTCTTTTTCACTTTCCAAAACAACCGCATAATGTCTTAAAAAAAAATTAATTGTTACTTTTTAGATGCTGCATTACAAGCACTTTAAGACTTTCAAAATAAAGGTCACTGACAATTCTTTTCTAAAAACTCTTTTTCTTTTCAGTTCTTCGTGTTCCTCGTGGTCATCATTGCCGCCGAAGTCACCGGGGGCATCTGGGCTTGGAGTAACCTCGACACGGTACAGCCTCACATTCCCCTTCTTACGCGTGCATTGTTTTGGCTAGTGATTCTTGGTGCGTGATCTTTTGTCTTCTGCTCTCGTCAATCCCAGTTTGAGAAGGCGGTCAAGGACCAAGTCAACCACATGATCAACAAGGATTACTCTACCTCGGAAGTGATCACCAAGACGATCGACGCCATGCAGCACGACGTGAGTGGCGCCTTTGTGCGTTTGGCCGCCTCGGTGGCTTAAGGGGGAACACTGCTTCTAGAGCTTTTTTTATATAACTTGTGATTCAATTAAAATGGAATTTACATGGCTTATTTGCCATTACAATCTGACTACAAATATGTACTTTGTTTTGACATAACCTAATTAGTTTTATTAATATTGAAAATTTAATTTGTAAAGATTATGGGAAGGATTAATTCAAATTGAAACACTGAGATAAGAAAATAAACATAGATCAGTGAACTAAGAGGTATGTGCAATCCAATAAGGTATAAATGAAAGCTCTATAATGATGTAATGTATAACCTATAATGTATAACTAACTAGCCCGTCACATGATCCTTGTATGATTTATAAACTTCTTATGACACTTTTGAACTTTCCAGTTTTAAAATCATTTTTTGCAGGATGCCTAAGAGGCACCTACAAAAAGCCTGACAGTCTATTTAATATATTTGTACCCCTTATTGCATATGTCACGCATACAGCTAGCAGAGAAAGGAAAAGATATGAAAATGAGAAATGTGCAAGTGGAGATATGGCTTCCATAAAATAGTAAAGGGTGTAAATAGTTCACTCAGAAATAATATTTTAAAAAATCCACAGACCCATTTTACTTTGTTTCCAAGACAATACTTCAAGATAAGAAGGACTTATTTAACTAAAATCCTTCAGGACAAGATGATAAGTCCTTGCCAAACTTCAAAAAACACATTTTTAAAAATGTGTTTTTTTAGTAAACATTTGCCTCAAAGAGCAGTGTCTCCCCTTAAGGCCAAGCACCGGCCTACGGGTCCCAAGGTGGCGGGTTCGAATCCCGGCCGTGTAACCGATCTTTCTGCTGCAGGTCAAAAAATCCCCAGGTTATCCAAATCAGTCCTTACTCGTTCGCTGGGTGGGAGTGAAAATTAAGACTCCTTTCGTCGGTTCGGCACGTAAAACCCCCAAATTCGTGCTCTCTGTGTTTACAGTTGCTAATCTGTTGTACCGGGGAAAGTTACAAGATTCTGCCTTCCACTGCACTTTGGCCATGGGAAATCGGTGGCAGAGTGGGCTGGTGCGCACCAGCTTGGAGCACATGAAGCGAAATCTTGTGTTGCGGAACCCAGGGATCCTGGGTTCAATCTCTACCCCTGCCCGTTTTGATCCGGATGAGCCTCGTACCGGCATGCAGTCGGGTATCGCTACTGCGCAATGCGCGTTAAAGGCCGCAGGCTAGTGGTTGTACTGCGCCGGCTAAATTTCTCATCTACAGCTGAGAAACCAGACGTTCAATGGAGCTGATCAACTTCTGGCTGTATAAACATACACCAGGCGTGGAACGGCTGCGCCATTTGTGCCAGACGCATTTGTCTGCGCCATCCTGCGCCATTTAGTGGAAACTGCGCCACAGTCAATACTTTGCACCATTGTGCTCCAGATCGCACAATGTGCGCCAAAATAATAATATTTTGTCTTGGTTTCGGTTTTTATTGACTCGAATGGCAACAATGAGCGCGTTAAGCTTGATCGGCCTTGCAATTTTTTGTTCCGTTTATTTTTCTGTGTATCCCGAGTCGCAAGCACGCGGAAAAACTCGGGAGTCAGATTCCAAGCGCTACATCACCTGCGAATGGATTGTTAGTCTTCAACTACAAGCGGTTAAGCAAGTCAGCCGAGGTGAGGTCGAGTCGTTAAGCGTCAGATAGCCTGAGGGTACACATTTGCGAAAGATTCCTGTTAGTGCTTCATCGTTAGAAGTTAGAACCGCATTCCTGCAAGATAAATCGTGATTTGATTGAACTGAAACGCTGTCCGATCCGAATCCTTGCCGGCCAGCAGCTCTCACGCGAGCGGTAGATCTGCTCGGCGTACTTTAATCTTGCTCTGGCTCATCGCTTCGAATAGGATAACTCCGTTAATCATAGTCTGATGCTTTGATATTGAGTTGTACAATAGGATAAACTCAAAATTTGTTGCCCTCTTCCTCCGCACAACTGCAGGTCCGTTGCTTAAGCACGTCACGTGGTTCGCACGTATAATTACTATGTTGAACACATGTGGGTCGTGCTATAAACAGTGCTGATTTGCATTTTGAGCAGCTGAAAGCCACTCAGAAAATATCAAGGACACTATCTTCAGAAACATATGGTACTTGCTTTTTTGGCTCTCACTAAGGCCAAGTTTTTGCACCTGTTACACTGTTATTTCATCTACATAGTTTCCTAACCACTGATGCTCATCTGTGCTGCTAAGCACAATTGAAATTGCTCTCGTGCTCGTCTAAGACACAAGCTGAAGTGCAATGAAAACTGATTTGAGCTGCTACCAGCCTGCTCCAAAACAGCTCCCGGGGCTGCTCCCAAGTACATTTCATGAGTTCCACGCCTGTACACACAACATTAAGTGCTTTGGCTGCTCGTCCGCACTCGAGGTGCACAAAACTCCAAAGCGCTGGAGGCGGGGCAACTGAAGCTTCTCCCCGTTGTTCTCACCTTGTCGGCAAGTTTAGTGACGAGCCGCTTTTTTCCCTTGCCGCAGCTCCGCTGCTGCGGAGTGGACGGCCCCCAGGACTGGGCCAACGCCAAGATGAACCAGAAGACGGACGTCTCGATCCCAGGCATCCAGGAAATCGGCATCCGGACGATGCTGGGTGCCTACAGTGTCCCCAAGTCGTGTTGCGTGGAAATGGAGGAGAGCACCTGCGAGGCCGTGCGGCACTTTGAGGGCGTTGCCAGCATCGTCCACGGCATTCATTCTCAGGTGCATGTTCCCTCCTTGTTGTGGCACGTTCCTTCAATTATAGACCAGTGCCTGCTTTGTTCCATGGGCGCCGCTATGTTTGTTAATGCTGACGCCATGACACAGTAGGAGGGCTGCGCTTTTTGCAAGACTCGTTTTTTTTTTTAGAAGTCTGCACGTATAGTAGTGCATGAACGTAAGAAATGCTTAGATGCGAAGCTTCAAGAGCAACACCAATGCCAAGAGAGCTGTAAAAAAACAAAAATTTTGCTTTATGCGCAGCCCCTCACTTTACGAGAGCCTGCGTTTGAGATTATTATTTCCCATTTGTATTGCTGGGGGCCACAATTTCGGACACTGGTCTAAATCAAGCACGAGAGACAGACAAGGACACGACAACGACAGGACAGCGCAGAACTCGCAGTAGGCGTTTTAATTTAAAAAGGAAAGAAAAAGAAAAGCGGGAGAAGCTTTACTGGAGATTTTATACTACTGAAGTTAAATTACTTTTTTTAAGTATATCTTTTTTAGATTGTTATTGTTTAATGCAGTTTTTAATTTTTTTATGATCTTCAATTGGTGCATTTGGTTTTGATTTGACTTATTCTAGTATTTCTTCCGTTTTTGTACTTTCTGTCCTTTAGTATATATCGTCTCCCCTTTTTTTCTTCTCTTCCTTATATTTCTTATTAAAAATGGTGGTTGTCAGTATAGTGCTAACCTGTCAGTGGGACTAGTGGCCGAGTGGGCTAGCGTACATTAGCTCGGAGCATGTGGAGCGAAAGCTCTCGCTGCAAAACCCAGGGGTCCTGGGTTCAATCTCCACCCCTGTCCATTTCGATCTGGATGAGCATTCTGCCAGCATGCAGTCGTATATCACTACTGTGTGGTGCACGTTAAGGACCCCAGGCTAGCAGTAGTACTGCACTGGCTAAATTGCTCATCTACGGTGGGGAACCACGTCGCCATTGTCTAGCAGACGAAAATCCCCATGTGTAAATGACTAACTACTTATTTGTTTTTCTCCCGTTTTCTCGTCTTTTATTTTTCACTTTATGTATTTAGTATGTTGAACCAACTACTAGTCCATTTTAATATTTTAGCGCACATTCCTCTTTTGTTCTGCCGCCTCAGTGGCCTTCAAGGCAAAGCACGGAACTATGGGTCCTTAGAAGCGGGTTCGAATCTCGTCCGATGTGCCTGCAACCCAACGGGTGCTTATTGCAGAGCTGTTGATTAACCGAGATTTCGGTTGCACAACAAAAGATTCCTGGCTGGTCAGAGTTAATCCTTGGTCCTTCTCTGGGGCATGCCAGATGCCTTGCGTGTTTGGCACGTAAAACCCCAAATTTGACTTTGAGTTTTTCGTTGTTGCGAACTGCACGGATGAGTCTAGTCGAGAAAACCAGAGCACATCCCCCTTCATGTATAAAGGAGCATCGTTTTCTTTTTCGCACGTTATGTTACGGTAAACTTTCATTAATTCAACTCTGACGGGACGTTGAAATCAGGTCGGACTATTCAAAGACCAAAAAGCGCAAATTTGGGACTCTGCCATTTTACTGTCAGTTTCTACACACATTCATTCTGCGTAGAGATTTAAATGGATTGATCCGCTAAACATATAAACTTGGCAGATAATCAGAAAGATGGCAGTAAATTTCATAACTGTCAATCATAAAAAAAAAAAATGCACATTTTTGGATTTTTTTTTGGCACCACAGCTTTGATTTTTTATTAAATAACTGCTTTGTGTTTTTGTTATGGTTTCTTTGCAGGGCTGTGGTACAGCGCTGTGGAACGGCCTATACAATAACCTCGTGCTCGTCTGCGCCATTGGTCTCGCCATCGCCGTGTTGCAGGCAGGTTTCTTCTGGTCTCTTAATAATAGTGATAACAATGATCATAATCCCTATTTGCTAAGGAGAGCCGCAACACCGCAGCAACTCAACAGCCCGTACCATGTAGGCACTCGGTGCCGCGCCTAGAGCGATGGTGATTACGTGACGATACAATTAGGGTTTAGAGTTTTCGGAGTTTATTTTTGAGCAAAGTATAACGCGTTTTCCGGAGTTTATTTTACACCTCGAATTCGGAATGCTTCGGAGCTTTCGCTCGTTGTCTACAAACATGAGGAGTTTTTTTTCTAATGTTTAGCGTCGTTGGCCTTGGTAGGGAACAGCAGACAACGCATTTGTTAATGCATCAAAGCGCTTACCCTTCTACCTCCTGCTACATTTTGCCAAAATGTGAAGAATTTGTGCTAACATTGTGCCAGAACTTATTGTCATTTTATTAATACCGAAGATATAATAAATCAAGCCCTGCTACACGGCTGGGTCGTTACGGTAGGCCCGTGCGGATTTCTAAAACTTTTGATTACTGCCTCAAGTAACATTCTACTCGATTTGATGTTTGCATCAAATATTGACGATACTCGCGAGTTTCACAATATTTCTTGCACTCGTCTGCTCTGGCCAGATTGTTGGCATCGTTGAGTATGCTCGTCACTGTGCAGTGGTGTACTGCAGGGAAGCGACAGCCTGCAGTAAGCGTTGCAATTTTGCGTTTCCTGCTTCGCCACAGCGCTCTCGTGCGCTAAGAGAAAAGCGCTCCGCCAGAGCGAGAATTTACGTGCGGTTTCCGAATATAACTGTGGATAGCATATCGTGTTTACTCGCACAATAAACTCACTTTTTTTTTTTTTTAGAAAAAATATTGATGCATATTTAGGGAAGGGGGGGGGGGGGGGGGGGGGGCATTTATTTTGTGGGGTAAACTTTTGTGCATTTCCACCTTTACGCAAACATAATTTCAGGTGCCGATTCGACACGGCAGGGCACGTCTCCGCCTACGGAGGCGTACCCACAGCCAGTCGCGGGCATGCCGCAGTAACGACAGGACCATTTTAGGGCACCTTCCGCATTCTTTTTGCGGAAGAAAGTGCGCCCACGAAGCTCGCACGTCACGGGTAGCGATGCAACCGTTCCTAGGACTACTAACCGCATCCACGATTTCACCGTCCGAAAGCGGACCGCAGATGACAGGGTGTTTGTTGATGTCAATGGTTCCGACGGACGAAACGTCTCTGGAGGTTGGGCGATTCCTCGACTCCAGCTTTGTTAGCCATGCGTGCCGCTCGGTTTCGCCGTTGATCACTGCTGCAACTTAGCAAATCGCGGCGGTTACACTCGTGGGTACTGCCGACACGTCCTGGATACTCCGTGCCTGTCGGAAGCGCTTCCCAAGGCCGTTGTGCTTACTCATTCCCCCACCTCTAATAACGCTTGTGTGCGTTCCGAGACGACGCTTCCTACGTCGAGTGGCTATGCGGAGCGCAAGTTCGTCCGCTTCTTGTGCAGGGGTTGCGACGGTGTCAGAACACCAAGCTCTTATTGGTTGAATGAAAAAGATAGTGGGTAGACCTCGAGGCATTTGGCATTGAGGTCTACACCCGCTATCCTTTCAGTCAAAGCCAATCGGAGCTGGGTGTCGTTCTGACATTGCCGCAACTCTTGCGCGAGTAGCAGACGTCCTGCTTTTCGCATAGAAAGCCGATCGAAGAGAGGGTCCATCTGAAACCACGGAAGGCGTTTCCAGTTTAATGATGGATGCCTCTTGTGGGGATAGGTCGTGAGTGCGCATGCGCTGCGTTTTCGCCTGGCGAGGGGGAAAGCAGGAGGGAGGGCAGAGATGTTTGCAGACGATTGACGCTTTCGTCGCCTCTTCGCAGGTCGTATTACAAATGCCGCTCATAAACCGCGTTCGGAACTTTTCGTAACACGGACTCTGTAGGGCACAAGCAGACGACGCGTCGAGGCCCCAGCGTTAGACTCTCAAGAGCCTCTATCGCAGAGAGTTTTCCAACGCTGAATAGTGGTCACGTGGTTTGTGGATCGCGTTTGCAATACGAGCTGTGAGCGTCTCTGCGCCGCCACCCTGAAGTGACGACGGCGGCGTGCAACCTTTCGGCTGGCGGCCCCCATCGGTTTTTCGTCCGTCCGACGGGCATAGAGTACACGGGAGGCGTTAACACTGTCATGCTTGGTATCGCTTGGCTTGGCCGCTTGGCGACAAAAAAGATTCGCTCGTTGGCTGGCTGAGACGGACTAAGTTAGAGACTTGCGGAACCCTAAATTGGGAATGCATTTATTAAGGAGGAAAAAAGAAACATACAAACGTTGAGTACCGTGGAGAATGCGTTCATTAAGCAAGTAAATATGGTATACGGTAGACTGCAACATTCTGACGACATATTTTTTACATTAGAGATTCATTGAGGATACTTGAGTATTGCGGGAAAACTTTTATAAACTGCTCTATATACTGTAAACGACTTAATTTTCGCAAGGGCCTAATTTTCGCGAATCGCCTACAATTCGCGAAAAATAGGTCCTGCGAAAAATTCCGGTAAATTGTAAACACATAGGAATCTATATTGAGATCCCACCGCATCGCGAAATTTAGAACCCGCGAATTATTTCAAAACTTCAGCTTTTACCTAAATCGCAAAATATTGAGCCCGCAAAAAATAAGTCATTTACAGTATTTATTTTTTTTGCCAAACTCTCATTTTGTTGTTACTTTTATGTAGGTTCCATGCATTCGATGGCACAGGAATTGTTTTTTAAGCATATTTATAAGCAGTGAGAGAGTGCAGGCGAGCTGGTAATCAATTGTCATCTTGTAAACCCTGAGATGGGGAACGATAAAAAAAACGGACGAACACAACAAAATCTTGTTGTGATTTTGTTGTGTTCGTCCGTTTTTTTTATCGTTCCCCATCTCAGGGTTTACAAGATGACATATTTATAATTCACATGCTTGTCTTAGGTGCTGAGACAAACTGCCATGATGCCACATTCTTTTTGCAGATCCTCGGACTGATCTTCACGATAGTATTGTGCTGCGCCGTCCGAAGTGATGGGGGTGCCAGTTTCAAGGCTTGAGCAACTGCACGCTCCTTCCTTTCTGTCTGCTTTGGCCCGTATCCGTCAGATCTCCAGTGGTACGGGCATCCCTAGGTTGGCTGTCTCTTTCAACTGGGGAGAGCTAGGGAAAGTTGGGGAATTTTAGGGGATTTCTGTTTGGGGTGGGGGGGGGGGGGGGAGGGGAACCTTCAGGGTTTTTGTGAAATTTGGGATGAAGGGATATGGGGAAATCCTGGAATGAGGAACGTGGGGTCTCCGAAGTAGGTACGCTCGTGAACAAGGAAAAGGCTTTGGGGATGAAGGCACACAGTACTCATTTTTAGTTCCTTGCTTCGGAGAAAAGTATGCGGAATTAATATCTCGTTCGAATCTCTGGGGATATTAGGAGGTAACCGCAACATATGTTTTGGGTCAAGGAGCCTATGTATGGAATGTGTGTTCTCAGTGTGGAGTGCAAGTCGTCTGCTTCGTGCGCAGGGGTCGCGGTGTTGCCGGAACGGTGCCGAGTTCTGATTGGTTTTGATGGGAAGGATAGTGGGTAGACCTCAATGTTAGATGCCTTGAGGTCTACCCACAACTTTTTTCAATCAACCAATAAGGGCTTGGTGTCCGGGTGTCATTGCAACCCCTGCTCAAGAAGCAGACAAGTTAGCGCTCCGCATAAGCCGATTTTCCGACGTGTACTTGTTATGTGCGGGCTAAACCGCTTGGTTCGCAGTGCTGTGCATATGGCACTGTTTAAAGTTGAATACGTGCGGAGCAGTGTATGCCATGATCTGAAGAAGGCTGCGCTTGAACGCCGCTTGACTCTTCTAGATGGCGTCTAGAGTGCCAAGTGATGACTGCTCGTGGAGTGCTTCGAAAGCTCGCAACAGTGCGCCTGAATGTTTGGTCGCAGCGGCACTATAGCTTACCCAAAGGGAGGGTGCCACAAGTTAGGGGGGACAGTTTTGAGGAAGCACAACTGTGAACTGCCAGTGGAATATGCCGGGAAAGGGTTGTAAAAAAAAGATTGTGTTGCCTTCATTTGTCGACTGCCAGTATGTATTCTGTTTTTTGAGTCAATGTGCAGTGTGATGTTTCATATGACCATACCAAAATCCACCACACAGACACGCACACTTGTCCTTATCTCCTGTGCGAACGTCCCTTGTAGTGGCGGTGTGACCGACGCCTTTCGAGCCATGCTTGTCGCTTATTTTTTCAGCGTCGAAAACTAGGATAGGATATTCACTTTGCAGCGAAGTGATGCGTAAACAAAGAGCGATGTATTAACGTAAATTGCTGGTTGTTGATGCCGGTTGTTTGTGCAGTTTCAGACTCTTGCTTGGGAAGGGACTTTGCGCTGCCTTTTTGGAAGCCTTTCTAAAGTTTGGCGTTTGCTCCGTAACACTCTGCCATTACTTGCTCGGGGAACGCCTGCCAACCGAGCGTTTTATAAAGTCGAGACGATCGTTTACCGAGGCTGCACGAACAAAGGCCTTTTTGGGCCAACACAAAAACCCCCGTGGCAAAGTAAGCTGTTTCTTTATTGGAAAGCCTGCTCTATTTTGTACAACAGATGTTGCGTGACATTCATGGTGCACATATTTTTCAATGCTGAGGCGGCGTTTGCTCAAGCTACGAAGGGGAAGGCGGGAAGTCTCGCGCACCAAGTTTGCGAAGCACAAAAAAGCATAGCCGCCAGCTGATGTCAATAATGTTGTAGTTCCATTTAAAGGTCGTTGTTGGTGACGTTGAAGTGCATTCGAGTTCGTGGTCGTGCAGCAACCGCCGCGACACTTGATTATCGTGACACTTTGGCACGTGTGTCCGTTACATTTGTTTTTACGGTCTTGCCGTTGCATCATTCATTTGTAAAGAGGAGCTTGAGTAACTTCATCCTTTTTTTTTTTTTTTCGTTATTCATAAATGTTGCTAATATATCCACAGTTGTTTCAGTGAGGGATCTTTCTCGCGTGTCGGAAAGTCTTGTCAGTCATGTTGATCAATTGTTTGTTTTTTCGTTTTCTTTTTTTTTTTTAGTTGGCAATTTTTCAACTTTTGACAGCGGTAGTACTCACTCATGGAGACTAATGTATTATTGATCACTGTCACCATTCTTTCTTTTTTCCACCGCATAAAATTTATTGCTCTGTATGACTGCAAGTACAATAAAGATTCCATTTAATCTACCACGACATGGAACCTCAAACTGCTTTGTCTGTCTGCATGTTTTATTTCTTTTCTTGAACTAAGAGACACATTAAATTGAAGAACTATAGTCTGTTGCATGTTTAGAAAAGCAGGACAAGCACCTTTCACAAAGCCTTCCACCCTTTCCACTTTAGGAGAGGGAATGGTAGAGACAAGTGTAGCGGAGGAAAGCACCAATCTCAGCAGGCAAAGAGCTTTGAGGGAAGGGTCTGTCCTGCTTTTCTTAAAATCGGAAGAGACTATAGGAAATATATCAAAGAAATACTGAATCGAACCTTGAAATATACAGAAAACATCAAGAAATAAGTCGAATAGGATCAGCCAAACCTGTAACTGACAATCGCAGGGTTGTATTTTAAGCGGATGGCTATATTTCTCGTTCGAAATAACGGGATTTTGGCGAGCACTTCAAAATCTGCCATAGAAGAGCGCGATGCATCTTGGGAAGTCTTCCAGATCCGGCGCAGCCTTGACGTCATCGTGCCATAAATTGCCAAGTGTACGGTAGTTACAAGCTTTGCCTTTTGGAGGTGTCAACGCCTTACAATCCCGCTTATTCGAAGTACCCAAAGGCCGTAATATACGTGGCGGAGCTGTGGAGCTGCTTCGAGTGTGCGATGGCCGACCAATGCGACGAAAGCGGTAGGTATGATGACATTAATGAGGACAAAGATGATGCTAGATCACCAGTAGCCACGATGGCCGAGAAGCGATGCAGCCTAGGGTCGTATTTGTATGACCGTGTGCCTTGTCTTCGTTGTCTGCAACAGGTAACGGAGCATATATTCACAAAAGACAACGACCAATGTACATTTTTATGTGCTCTTCGTGCGCATCCCTACTTCAAGCAGCAAGAGAAAAGATAAAAATGTACTTGAAGTCGAACATTTTGGTGTAGACAAGCGCTAGAACCACAGATACCTGAAGAAGCTACGCCAACAATCTAACCGACCAAGCGACCGCCAAGGGCTATCTAGGAACGCTAAGATTAGCAAGGTACTCCGACGCAACAATGCTCCAACGACCTGGAACAGGACCATCTGCACACGATTCCGGCTGTCTTGCTGAATGGAATATGCCCATGCAACCTTTGTGGACCCTTCTCATATGAATAGTTTGAACCCTGACCTCTGTTTTGGAGTAGCAAGGTCAGTCTTCCTTCTCGGTCGTCCCTAGCTTATTTCCAGATGAAGCGGCAGTGAACGCTTTCATCAAAAAGGGACACTCTCCTCGATTTTATCTTTTTTTTTTTTTGTGTTATAGAGCTCAAATAAATGCCATATGGATTGCCTTTGTAACATGGGTACATACACTCTTTTAGTATGTCCATTTTATTCCAACATGACGGTATGCCAACAGATGTCTAGTTGGGGCAGATTTTGGAAGCTACTCAATGCCGGTCCAATCTTCCTTTGCCAAGCGTCACGTCGGCATCGAGTTGCGATTGTCTAGTGGCCCAGCAATTCATAAAATCGGTTGTAAAAGATTGTTCCCAAAGCTGTTGCCAAGAATGCAGTGCCTGTGCAGTTCTGCTCCCAGTGCAAACAGGCATTTACATGGATCTTGCTGACACTCTTTTAGTTCAAACGTATCTTCCCAGACGTAGGCTTCCTCCCTCATCCCCAAAGCCACAAAAAACTCCGCAGCGATTTTGTTTACATGCGTGCCGCTTTGCAGAGCCGTGCAAGCAGTCTCTGTTTAGCAATGATGGTAGTTGTGTTCACTTTGTACCGATCAAGTTCATTGCATTTGACCTGGGTGGCTATCCCGTCATCAGGAGAGGTGGGCATTCAGGCCCCTTTAAATAGACATTTCGTAGCGTCGACATCACATCACTCATACACAATCTCCAAACCCCCCCAGAAAAGCGTTGCCGGAAAGGCCACCTGATACTAAAACGAACGGTGGCCAACTCCGCTGTTACTTCACCAAAGCGCCCCGGTACTGCATTCAGACCTAAGTAATCGCTATGAGTGAGCGTACTTCCCGTTGTGGTGCTGCTCTTAGTAACCTATAATGGCATTCCATTTAAGCTTCAAAGACGTCCATAAGGTGGTTTTTGGTTATCGTTTTATTCAGTTTAAAATGTGTTTTCTTCTGTTATCTTGTGAAATATTGGTATTAGTGAAGTCCTACCTTAACTCGCTTCATGCTTAAGCAAAAGGTGAGCTCTAGAATTTGGTTCCAGAAGATGCCATGAGATGCAGAAACTATTTTGGAACTCTTTCGGAGTTTTTCCTCTTATATTTTCTTCTGTTCTTGACAAATTTTGCGAGCGCCTGAAAGCAAACGAGAAAATTGCAAATATGACCTCCGTTTCTGTGGAAACCACTTCGATATAAGCAAGATGGGCCATAGTCGTTGACAGGTTAAGAACTGCAGTGCGTGACCTATTGTTTTCACACGTATTGCCTCATTGTTCGGCATTCTTGTGGGCTATTGGCACAATCTGATTGGCCGTGGAGCGTTAATTAGGTGCTCGACACTGACCAGAGTTTCTTAAAGGGGCACTGACACCCCAAAGGTTGTATTTTTTTGTTGTCTAAAACAACGCAAGTTGTAGTCATAAGCACGCAAAAAAAAACACCACAACGCAGAAAAAAAAAACTTTCTCACGTTCGCAATGCCCTTTACTTTTACCTCCTCACTTCATTTCATTTGTGACTTAATCGATTATGAAATTTAGAAGCCTTGTAAACGACATTTCTACAATATTTAATAACGGCATTCGTAAACCACATTCTTTATCGCAATGTGGAGCAAAAGTTTGTTTTGCTTCTTTCGCAGGGGTTTTGGTGACGTCAGAACGTCGAGCTCTGATTGACTCTTATTGAAGGATAGTGGGTAGACCTCAAAGCAAGCTGCCTTGAGGTATATCCACTATCCTTAAATTGGAGCTTGGTGTTCTGACAACGCAATCCCTGCAAAAGAAGCAGAGGAACTTGCGCTCCAAATTGCGAACACACTATGCCCCTTCTTTTAAAATATAGAAAATCTGAGTCCAGAAATGATGTTGCCTCCTGGCTTTTTATCCACCCTCGGAAAGCATGGCGGTGCTCGGCACTTATAGCACTGAGGATGACCGGGGGGTCGGGGAATCTGACGAAATTCTCTTCTCGGTGGCCGACGACCTCTCAGACTTCGATAAGGAAATCGTCAAATGGTCAAAGCAACCATAGATGCGATTGTGACTCAGCAGGGCAGTCTTTCATGCAGCACCGGTACCAACATGGCTCCTCACGTCTTTCACAAAAGTCCAGTGCGCTTCCTCCTCGACCTTATAGCGCAGGGGTGGCCAGGCTGACCCAGCCTATGAGCCGCAAACAAAACCAAGAAACTTGTAAGGTCCGCGGGGGGGCGGGGGGCTATGAATGATGTCAACTCGGACTTTCGCGACCTTCAACAAGAAACGATAGCTGTCCCCTTCGTCCAAAGGGGACAACTATCACCGGCGAGGGACAAAGGCCACGAGACTGAACATTTCCTCGCCCTCAAGTCAACGTGCATGCATGGTTTGACAGTCCCTGTCCTTGATGCCTTTCCCCCTAGGGTCCGGCAAACTCCCTCGAACTATGAAAGAAACAGGATCTGTGGAAACATACGAGTGAAAAGCGGTTCGACTGTAAGTATGGGGGCACAAGGCTGCCAAACTGCAAGCTGTTCTTTATTCTGAAACCCTTGGGAAACGCGGAAAGGGCGGAAGGAGAGGGTAAGGAGGGGGGGGGGGTTCCCTTACAAGGAATCCGCGAGCCCCACTTGGACCAGGGAAGAGCCGTATGCGGCTCGTGAGCCGCGGTTTGGCCACCCCTATTATAGCGTTTCAAAGGATTTGAGATCGCTGAAAAGGCCCTAAAAGAACTTCAAACTCTAAAGTGAAGCGTCATCTGCTCACAGGAAATAGCTTTTTTTGCTTCAGAAATACTGAATTCCCAAGCTTTGAATTTTGAGGGTAATGTCCAGGCATTGGCACGAGACCAGCCGGACTGTGAGGAATATTACTTGTGAAGTATTTTTCGAGCATGAAAATCTGCACGCCCTTGTATTTCGAGTTTATATGTGCATACATTTGAGCTTGTAAGCAATTGTAAGCTCCAATAAAGCTCTAGAGGAACTGGAACAGAAGTAAAGCTTGTAAGCTCCGATGGAGCCCTAGACAAGGGACTGCAACTGAAGTAATGATAGCTTCAGGGTAAATTGTTGGCGAAGAACTGACTCTTAGCTTAGTTTCATGGATATGTATAAAAAAAAGCCTGAAAAGACATGCATAAGTGGGCTTGAATTTCTTAATTTTATATGAGCAGAACGACGATTTTGCTTAAGCATGTTTAGTGTTCCCAAGTAAATATTTTGGCATCAACATAAGCGGACATTATTTTCGAATCCGGCCAATTCGTCGAAAGTCCGTTGTTTGACGGAAAACTCTAAGAAGGACAATTCGTCGAATAGGGCAATTTGCCCTGGGGGCCAATTCGCAGAACGGAGAATTAAGTGAAAGTGCCCATTTGCCGAACTAGGTTGAACTGTAGAAAAGAGTTGAGTGGGATGTCTGGAGTTAATCGATGATTTTTGGGTGTCAGGACCTTGTCAACAATAAACATAGATAGGAGTTGAACTGTAGGTTGCACTTTTATCTAAGTGTTATTGGGGTCGTTAGGGGTCAAAGATAAGACCCTGTCTGCAATAAATGAAAGGATGACAAATTCAGTTCTCTGAACTTGCCAAGGTCAACTAGCAAAACGTCCAGGTTCACTAGCAAAACGCTAAAATACAGGTCGTTCAAAACTGTAAAAGCCGGTCTCTGTGCGGAGATGTTCACTCGTCTATATCATCATGGAAGTAGGGTACGCCGAGCTCGGGGCTGATCTTCTAATTCAGATAAAACAGACGAGGACGAAGAAACATGTGACGAGTGCGCCTGTCATGTGTGTTTCTCCTTCGTCGTCGTCTGTTTTTCACGCTGTTTCCTACGATGAATTCCCACCAACGCGCACAACTATCCATGCTTCTATGATAGCTGGAAAGGTTGCTGCCATCTACGAGCAATGGCGGCAACCAGACTGGTTGTGTGCTTGCCGCCGTCGCTTATAGATGGCGGTAGCCAGCGGCGTAGACTTTTTATTTTCCGGAAAGGGGGGGGGGGGGGGGGGGGGGGGGGTGCTGCTGCTGCTGCGCGTTACGTTCTCGCCAGAACTGGAGATTGAAGCTAACTAATGAAAGCACGCTGGGATTCCATTTTTCATGTATTTTGTCAATAAAGGCAACGTGGGTGTTATTTTGTTTACATGCCACTACTATAGAAGCTCGTTACATGGCACGTAAACAGCGTCTTGGTAAGAATCATGGCCCGGGCCCGGGGGTGGCACGAGTCCCAATGCACCCCCCCGAAGTCTACGCCTATGGTGGTAGCTGTCCAGGTAGGTTTGTGTCGACACGTGTTTGATACTGAACACAATCCTGGCCAACCTAGCCCTTAACAGCTCCGCTGTAAAAAAAAAAAAAAAAAAAAAGAAAGAAAAATACATACTAGTTTAGAAATGTTTTAACATGGTTTTCCAGTGAAACTGACATGTTGCTCAAACAATCTTTGTGCTTATCTATCATCAATGATACCTTCACTAGACGTTTGGAAGCTTTTTTCTTTGTGGAGGACCTTAGTGTTCTCTCACACAACTACGTAAATAGTACACGAAGGTGTTTCGCTAGTTCTGAAAACTATGCTATACTCAACCAGTTCACCTGCACCCTTGCTTTTAACTCCTCCTTTGTCATTGCGCCATTAAAACTCTAAACCCCCCCCCCCCCCCCCCCCCCTCACTTCAACATAACTATCTCTACACGATCACTAAGCTCGATTAGTTCGATACTTTTGCGACCATTACAAGGGAACATTCAGTGACTCTAAAGACTTCATGAATCGATGGCGGGCGAATAAGAGGAAATCGCGCTGTGAAACTGGAAACGAAACATAATGCAATCCGATCAGCAAGGCAAAACTAAATATAACATAATCCAAGTCCGAGCCAACGCTGAAAAAATTTTGACGTCATTCGCAAGACCGCAAGGCATTCTGGGACATCACTGACATCACTTCCATTCTTTGCGGTGTTCGTTCCACAAGTTCTTCAAAGTGGAGGTAAGGGATCGGGTCTTAACTCTTTGTGGTTGCATTATGTTGCGAATTGTTTTCACTGTGAGCAATCCACAGCAGTGAACCGGCGAAAGACTAGGAATGTTGCGGAAAGGGACTTCCGCAGGGCATTTAGGGGAGATTTATCGATCGTCCCATCAGGCCTAACGGGCTCGGCTCGCCGGCAGATTTTGACATTGATTTACTGGACCAAAATTGATCTCATATGCTTTATATTTAATGACTACATGTTGTACTGTCCCCACCGTTACGGTGCCCACCATGCTAGTTAACATTAACTTGTGGGCATTCGCAATTTTCGCTCGTGCGCGGGGAAAGAAAAATGGCGTCGCCCTACTTTGCGGATTTTGTAAACCGCGTGATGCGTAGTCGACATTCCTTGACCGCAGCATCGGAGTTAGTTCACTATCATCATTTTAGTTAAGAGAAGGTTTTCTAGTAGCACTGAATCTAGTATCTAAATGCCGGCCTCTGGTTGTTTAGTGCTCACGAAATGAAAAACAACTAAAAAAAATAAATAAAGGCAGCCTTGCGACGCGGTGCGCAAAACGGGCAACTTGAGCTACAAGGTTTCTGCTTGCTCCAAGGTTAACGACAGGCCAGTTGGGCGACCGACAGCTGCAGTTTTCTTCCTTTTTTGTTGCAGACGGGGGAGTTCATTAGCCGCACTGGCTTTTTCATAGGAATGCATGCCTTATTTTCCAGACAAAGTGGAGGAAATTTGTGCAAAAAGGATTGTAAATTTTTGTTGCGAGTGTTTTAGACGTCCTCAGTCGTTTGGAAGTCTGAATTGGGGTCTTTGAGCGCCCAACTAAAATTCTGGCGCAATGCAAACAAAGTGTTGGGCTCCCGCATGATAGCCACATTTTCCACTGGTATGGTTTCGAAAATTCAGTTTCATGAAATTTTACCATATTGAACATATTTGCATGCTTGCTTGTCATCCAAATTCTTTGGCATGTTCTAAGTTGCGTATTGTGGAGAAAATGACAATGAACACTTTCACTGGGTCCTCATAATTGTCAAGGATGAAGTGTTTGTTTCAAGGATATGATGCATGTGACCCATTGCAACTTGTTCATTGGCGGTTGAAGCTACAGGTGCGGTTCTGTTTTCTTTGTTTCTGTGCAGCAGGTGGAACGTCAGTTGAAACACAATTTGTAGCTGCCCTGATTCCAACGAATACAGGGAGCAACGTCATCGGAGATCGTGGTTTTTCGCCGTTTTCAGCAGCTCTTGATCTCCAGACACTACTTTTGAGCGGCTCACCATGGAAGTAAGCATACATTCCCAACATCTAAAAAGTGTGCTCCCTACTCCTGTGGGGACCTGCCTTTCGGCAGTTGGCTGTCTCAATCTCTCGTCGTAGCTTTCGCGAGGGTGTCCAGTATACATCAGAACAGCTATGATAATTTAGCTACATTTGAGCAGTAATTAATGACGGTAGCACCCACTGGTGTGCAAATGTTTATGCCGCCGTAGGTGGCATAAACATTTGCACTGTAGCATGTCGGCACACGCTGACCTGCTGACATCCCCAAGCATGTCAGCACATGCACATGAGTTATAGCTGGGGATGTCGGCACATGCTGACATCCCCAAGCATGTCAGCACACGCCCACGAGTTATGGCTGAATATGGGAAGTTGCGGAAGCGGTCAACAGTATAATTGTGCGTCGCAGGCAGCCAACAAAATTGGGTTTGAGGAATTGCCTGGCTCTTGGCAATGTTCCATCCATCGGATTTATTGATGTCAACGAACATGCTGTTGTCTGTTGTCCATTTTCGGACAATGAAATGCGAAAGTAGTTACGCCGAAGGACGGTTGTGACTGCTTCACGCTGAGTGCGACCAATACAAAAACTTGCTTTGAGCGTTGTGGGGCGCTCTTTTGTCTGCGAAAAGATAGCTGAGGTTCTGAATTCATGCGCTGGCGCGCTCGGCTATCTAGGCAAACAACGGCCATTCCGAGTTCGGTGGGCGGACCAAGCGAAGGCCTTTCACAACCGTGTGCTCCTTTTGAATTTTTGCTCTTGGACCTAGCAAGCACTTATCCCCCAGTTCATGATTATCTCCTGATTTTGAGGGTGCACTCGCTTGGTATTTTACGGTAGGTCCATGGGACATAGCAGATGGTAATCGACGAAGGCTCGGCAGCCATTCACCGGAAACGGGACGAGAAGAGCCACCCCGGGCATTGCCCAAGCACGAGGACGCGTGTTGTTTGAGGAATTTCTGCCCAGATGGCTCGCTACCGAGACACGTGCCCCGTGGACTGCAAGGTCTACGTCGGCGAACTGGGCAACAGCGGCACCAAGCACGAGCTGGAAGAGTCCTTTGGCTACTATGGCCCCCTGCGCAACGTCTGGGTGGCGCGCAGTCCGCCCGGCTTTGCCTTCGTCGAGTTTGAGGACCCACGGGACGCGAGGGATGCCGTGCGCGCCCTTGACGGAAAGTGAGTATCCCAAATTTGTCCCTGCTATTCTGAACTCCAACGCCCTATAGGTGACGGGGGTGGTAGTTCTTCCAAGGTGGCGGAAGAGACTAGGATAGATTCTCCAGGTTTTTCCGTGCGCCTGCTTGCTCATGCTGGTCAGTGTGCTAAAACTAATTTGTCTAGAAATGCAAGCCGGTCAGGGCAGGAGCATATTACAGGTGACGGACATGTTGATGTGCGTCAGAAAAAGGAGCATGTTGATATTTGAGGTGTGGAAACCTCGACTTGCGAAGCTTTGTGGAGGGCGAGCGCAGTTTGGGCACTGGCTACGTCACTGTCCGTGGCAAAATATTTTTGAGGATGATGAAGGTGTCGTGGTGCTAGTGCTTTGCATTGCCATTGGTGCTCTAAAAAGCGAGCAGCTCACGGTGACCGTCAAGCTCCGGAAGAGCAGCATTCGCAGCATTGATATCTTTGTGTCACAGGCTCACAGCTACAGTTTCAGTGTATTGCAACACGTGATGAAACTGCACTATGGTTATGGATGGGAAGTTTTAGGATAGCCTAACTGCAGGCCGCCGTACGGTGTAGCATTGCAACCGGAAGCTTACACTGCGCCTTGGAACCACAATTTTCAGCTTGCGCCAGGAACAATGCTATGCTAGCGGTAACCTACAATAACACTATGCTAAGACTGCCTATTAACATAATTGGCGTGTTTGGGGTTTTTGTTTCATGCTGTATCAGAAATATTTTAGTACAGCATACATTCGTGTACCGTGTTATTTGCAACATTGCGACCCGCCTCGCCAAAGCCAATAGTTCTAATCTCGTCACTAACACAGGCATGCTAAAAATTCTCATAGCATTTTTTTATTTGCCTTTGTAATTACCTAAAAGCGAGTATGCGTATTGTCTTTTGAAAGTGCTTGGAACAAATTGCAATCTTCCTTGTAACAGCCTTAAAGCACCAACCCATTCTCGATATCTATTGCTCGACATACCTTTGTGTGACCAGATTTCCTCTACTCGGGGCTAACTTTCTGTAGGCCGCATGCTAGAGCTCTACACTACTAACGGGAGTGTTTGCCATCCCTTTGAGTGCAGATTGAGCTGGCAACTGCAAGACCAGAAATCTGCAGCCTATGCTACACACGAAAAGCCCCTAATGAAGCCAGACATCTCAATCTCTTTGTGCAACGCTGCTGCGGGGCGGTACACAAAAATTAATATTCTAACGCTCTCTTCATTTTTGTTTACACTGTTTTATGCATTTACACTTCGAATATAGCCATGCATTGATATCAGCACTGAGGCCGACAGTCCCTGCCACCGTCCCCGCTCCTCTGGTTCTTCGTTCGTCCAAGAGAGGGCGGGCGGCGGTTTGTAGTTGTGAATAGTCAACGAGATGTGAATGGGGGGGGGGGGGGGGGGGGAAGAGAAGAGAAGAGAAGAGAAGGGGGTTCCGCTACCCCTTCTTTGGCGCAAATTTCCTAGCTCCTACGATGCTTTGGCGTCTCGTGATCCTCAGGCACGCATGTGCGGCCGAATCGCATTGGAAAGCAACGAGCGCATGTGGGATGCTGTGCCGGTTGCAGTGCGCTGGGTTGCATCGTTGCATCGTTGGCATCGCATCTCTTTGCATCGTTGGCGTCGGTTGCGGCGTTTAGAACGAGCGTTTTGGTTCATGCCTACATGTGTGGCGTCTGGTTTGCCGACACGCTTCTCTAGAGATTGGAAGTCTTCGAAGGGGGCCTGCACGGTCGACGACAGACTCACCCGACGCACGTCCCCTTCTCCCCGCTTCCAGGATGCTGTGCGGCCGCAGGGTGCGCGTAGAGTTGTCGACGGGCAAGTCCCGCAACTCGTACCGCGGCTCTTCTCGGCCCTTCCAACCGACCGACCGCTGCTACGACTGTGGCGAGAGGGGCCACTACGCCAGGGACTGCAGAGTCTACTCCCGCAGGAACTCCTCACGGTGCGTGTTGTTTCCCCTTTGGGGCTCTTGTTCCTCGTTTGTGGTCTTTGATTTTTTGGGTGGGGGCTTAAACGTGCTTTTAGAGGAGGGTCAGTGAATCAGGCATGGAGTGATTTGGGTTGTAGCGAGGTTTAGGCAAGTGAGGATACTAGTCACCGAAAAGGGGGTACAGGTCTATGGGTGAAGGTGGCTTTTAGCGTCGGAGTGAGCTTTGGAGAGTAGGGGGGGGGGGGGGGGGGGTATGCTACTGTGTACAGCTTCAGTTGACGGGGCACTGGCAGCGTTTGATTTGTACTGTGTTCACCCCTAAACTGACTGCGCAGTGGAAGCTACGTGTTCGTTGGACGAGTTGTGTATACGTCTTTTGCAATGTGGTTGCGCTGCACGTGGAGAGAGCGAGGTCGGGCGATGTAAAGGAGGCGGTTGATTGGTCCAGCAAATGTGTAGCTCTCGCCTCGCCGTCGGCTTGGGCGTGAACAGGGTATAGTTGCCACACCACTGCAGACCAGTGAGCAGTTCGTAGGAGGCCAATTAATGATGGGATTTGTATGTGTTGGGGAGGAGGGTAGATGACTGTTTGCCGGTGGGGGCATGTGTGTGTGTACTACGCGCGGTCTGTTTGGCCGGACGTAGCAAGTAATGCTGGTGCACCATGTTTTGTAGGCCAGAGCCTCGCCTCCCCGTTGATCGTAAATGTCTGCGCCCGAGAGGCTTCGGTTGAGTCGGCGGCTGCGGGTTGAGAGTCGGCAGCACGACAGCCACTGCTCCTAACGTGCAGCTAGATGATCATGAGCGAGAGAGAGCGACCCCTCTTCTTCCACCACCTCACGCACTTGCGGCACTCTGCAAAGAGGAGCGATGGGCACGGTCTGCAGGCCCCGTTGTGTCCCCTCAACTCTACCGCTCTGCTAGTCCACACAACAGCTCTGCTTCTGCTGCCGCTCTGCTAGAGTGCTTCCACTGCGTTGAAGGGGCAGGGAGAGAGAGAGAGAGATTGAACGCTTCCTCTACTACTACTACTACTACTGCGGGGAACACACACTGAAAGAGGGTGAAAGGGAAGAGAGTTGCCCTAGCGGCCAGAGCGTTACTGCTGCCTTCGAGGCTGCACTGCAGTCTGCGGCGGCCGCCAGAGGTAAGTCGTGCTGCGCCTTCAAAGGGAGGGGCGGGGGGCTGTTCTTCCACTGCGAGGCCCGAGCACTGCACCATTTTCGCGGCGATTTGATGGGAATTCGGTGGCGGGGAGGGGGTTGAAGCACTTGGTCTTGTCCAGAAGCAAGGAAGCTTCAGTGTTAGGTGAATGCCGAGGCATGGTGCAGAACTCGGATCTTGCGGCTGCTTTGCTGTGGCCATTTGTTACAGACGGAGAGGGTGTGATTGGGGCTTCAGGGTTTGTGGAAGCAAGCACTGTGCCGTCTTAGGGCGAGATCGGAAACGGAATGTTGAGGCAACTCAGGGTTAGTCTGGTAAAGGGTTGTATAGTTATTAAATATTTGGGAACTGCTGCAGTTTTGTGTCCTTGCATTTGCCGTGGACTCGTAGGTGGCAGAAATACTGAGAGTTGCGGGAGGCAGTGGTACGAATGGGGACTGGTGGATGGGGAGGCATGATGTGTGGCCCCTCCGGGCATGTTACATATGGTGATTGTGGAAAGGTACTGTGTTATGGGCCAACGCAGGGAAAGAGCGACCTCTGCAAGGTGCCTGCATTTAGTTTGCTAAGCCTGGGGTGTGGGGAATTGGTTTGCTCTGTGAGGAAAGCAACATAGTTGGAATTATGGGGAGCACTGGGGCACAAGCACTGCGTGCACGGGATTGTAAGCGTGAGTGGTTGCTTTGTGGTAACTGTTGGTGTGGAGCGATTTTTATAGGGTCAAAGGGTGACGGCAAATTGTTTGCAGAACTGTCTTTCGTGAAGAACTGTTTTCCCATGACGTGTGTCGGTAGGGGCTTTGCACAAAGCAAGTTCTGTGCGAGTGTTTTGGTGGTACTTCCTAAATAATATAGTTACTTTAGTGTTTTCTAGGTTTGATTCTAGTAAATGCGGGAGGGTATTGCTTTCCAGTAAGTAGGGCCCAAGCTCCTTGAACTGAATAACTTTGTGGTGTTTAACAACAGTTCCAAGATTGCATTCTCCAGTACTCTTGTTGGCCCTTTACAAATTGCAGTACAGTCCACCTTGATTAGGTATTTTACTAGGTTTAGCAAAATGTTTTATATCACAAAAGAGGCACACTGCAAGTCACCTGGTGTCCAACAAGATTCTGACTTATTTGGCCTGTTTAAAAAGGAAACTACAGCCTTTATTACCTCAATTGCATATAAGTCTTAAAAATTAATGCAATTGCTCTTTTTTTTCTGTAGTTTATTGGTTGTTTCAAAGCGTCAGATGCCCTTTGTTGGATTGGCACGCATACACCACCCAAAATTTTACTTAGGCAAATTTAGGTGCTTGTATCATTGGATGTCAACCTCGTTAGGGCAACACCACCTGGACTAACGACTTTGCACGCCCAAATTTTGGCACCATCTCGCCAGATCCGCGCACAGATTGGCCACGAGTGTGGCGTCGGCATATCACTAATTCTCGTGTTCTGTCGACGCATTATTTTCGGTCCCAGTCACTTGGTTGGTGCTGTCGTGTGGTGACATCCCGTAAAGAAAGGGAGAGAAAACGAACGGACTCTTACTTCACTTCAACATAATTTGGCAGAGAGTGAATGCTACGCCCCCTCGAGCCGATCGAAAGAAAGCGTATCAGAGCTCTCCGCAGGAAGATTGCATTCCGACGACGCAGTGTTCAGTGCCTCGTTCGGACGTTCCGATTGGCTTGCTGGTACCGTAGCTTTCGTCATCTACCAAGCTATGGTGATACAGAGTTGGGACTGGCTGTCCAACTCTGTATCAGAGAAGGGCAGGTGTATTTGGGTTGGTGCCAATCCGACCTGCCCGCAGTGACCGATCCCGGTCGGGCTCCCGCGGGCGTCGTTCGCGCAGCCGATCGCGGTCCCGGTCCCGGAGCCGCTCGTTCAGCCCAAGGCGCGGCGGCGGCGGAGGCGGCGGTGGCCGCTCTCGCTCCCTGAGCCGCTCCCCCCGGCGGTCCCCCCCTGCTGGATCCCGCAGCCGCTCACGCAGCCGGTGAGTGGGACAAGGAGGCCCCCTCCCGTGCCAGGGCAGGTAACTGCTACTACCCTCTCGCACACTGCCTGCCCGCCCGTCAGGGTTGCACCTTCGGTCTCCAGATGGCACCACTCCCCGGCACCCCAGCCTGAGCTTAGGTCTCGTATTGCGTGCGGTCTAGGTAAAGGCACGTCTGGAAGTGAGCTTGGGCCTGGATACGACGTCTGTGATGCGATGGACGTTTCAGGTCCTCGCGTCATGCCCGGTGTCGAAACGGAGACTTTGCGTTTAAGACCAGGCGTATTTTCGTCCTTGTCGTTCCTTCTGTAGATGGCGGTGATTGGCTCTCCGAATGCACTGCGGGATCTTGGGTGAAGCGCGTGGGTTTCGTCAACGTAGTGTTAACATCTTGTGTTTACAACAAAGTACTCTGGTGAGTGCCAGTTGTGAGGCCATCTGGTGACTGGGTATGAAGTTACATTGAAACAGCGGGGCTTCAACAGGCACTTGTTTCTCGTCTAGCCTTTGTGTACCTTTGTGTATTGGCCTCAAAGGGCTTCTCAACTCACTCTTATTGAATTATATTTTTGTTTGTAGCTAGGTTGTTTAGAAATAATAACTAGGCTATTGGTCACTTTTATGTAGTGAGGTATTCTGTGAGGCAGTGCTTATCTTAATGCCTTGCCTACTAGTGAGTTACTCCTGCCACCTTTTACGGACCATAAAGCCCGACCACGAGTGTGTTCCGGCGCTTGTTTAGTGTGCTCTTCGGCAGATGGCAGCACCACCCTTGTTACTCCACTTACCTTGGGTTGTTTGCTCATTTGTGTTGCTGTTTGGCAAAGACAAAACTCCATTGAGCAAGAAAAGAAGAAAAAAAAAACGCACACAGGGTAAGCGTTTGCGCCAATACATTGTTTTGTCGTGGAGGTTTGCTATAGCCGCCGAAGAGATCCAAGAACTTAGTTTTGAAAGGGAATGCTCGGGCATCTCTGACGACAAATCTTGCAGCCTTTCTGATTACCTGGAATCGGGTGGTTCGATGAACAGTGATGATATAAATCGTTTTCATCACTCCCATCAAGGTGGCTCTCCACCTTCCTGAATGTTTTCTTAGTGCTTCCACACCGAAAAACTACTGAAGAAGATCGGAAGTTTCGATTTAGAGCAAGATACCACATCTGAAAATCAAGGATATGCTTTTGTCTAATTTTGATGCAAATTGCTTGTTTAAAATGAAGTTTTGCTGTACGTTTTTTGAAGGAACAAATGAGTAGGCAAGGGGTTAAAGGGACGAATTCAGTTTCAGCGTCGTTTGAAGTCTCTCGGCACGTCGTCAAAACCCCCGAAATTTGTTTCATCTGAAACGGGGGGGAGGACCCTGTGGGCGATTTAAGTCAAACTCTATAGCCTCTGATGTTCAAAGACAGTACCCTAGTAATCTCCCAAAGTGGGCTTGGTGCAAGCAGCTGCTGCACAACATGGCCACGAACACTTGGGCTGCTTGAACACAACATGTGTGAACACTTAGGAGGGCCCCGTTATGTCGATGTCTTGATTTTATGGCAAAAGTCCTAAGTTTAAAAGTCTAAATTTCAATTTACAGTGGTATTGGCTGAGATGTCTTGAGGGGTTGTGGTGCTCCAGAGTTCTTTTTTACCCGTTTGTGCTCGTACTGCTCGCAGGCATGCTCTTGTGCACGAATGGCAGAGTGCATGGTCTTAGCTAAGAGCTGCCTTACCTGAAGGCCACCAGGAACTGGTGAACCTGCAGAGTGGAGGGGCCTGTGACTGTTTGTCTTTCTTACATAGGCTGCACTAAAGGCTTATTCACACAATGCATCTTTTCAATGTGCAACGGTTTAGCGAAATCGGAATTTTACGAAATTGGCCTGTTCACGCGTAGTCCGCTATGCGAAACCCGCAACATATTGCCTCACGAGAATTTTGCCAAACCTTGTCGTCTGCACCGATAATATTGAGAGTTTCGCATAAAAATATAACAAAATATGCACAGTGTGAAGAAAGAGTCTTCTTTATTAATACCACTCAATGATCTTGGTTGGATTCGGCTCACTCAGTTTACTAGGGCCTGCCAAATGGGGAAAGACAGCTAACTTCAAAGAACGGGCAGATGATCTCGGAGTATTTCGGACATTCTTGCACTGCTAAAAGATTGGTTATACCCATCATGTTCACATGGCATGCTTGCGCTCGTCGCGACTGGAGGAATCTGCACCTTGACTGAACAATTTCGTACTGCCCGTACGCACAGCCTCTGCCTGTCACTTGCCGCCATGTTTGTTTTCTCTTTTCGGCCTCGGCCACTTTGGCTCGGATATGAGATAGGCCAAACATCGGGCTTTTTCAAAAGCTTGCCCCACCTTTAAGGTTGTCGTAGCGATGTCGAGCGGCCATTGGCAGCTTCCGCATTTCTCCTTCAGGTGATTGACAGGCCTCGGTAAGGTTTGAAAATAATCGCAGCAGAAGCAAGGAGTGCGTGCAACCTTTTTTGGAGGCGTGCTACTTGTTCGGTGGCATTCCAACGGGTATCTGTTTCCCGAAACTTAGTTTCACAAGACTCGCCAGCAAGATGCATCATGTGAATAGACCTTAAGGGGGGCACTGGCTAGAGATTTAACTTCTGAACTACTGAAGTGATTGGAATGAAATTTGCAGGGGAGATTGAACATCAGATGGAGGTGTATTGTGCAAACTTTCAGCTCTCCTGGAGAATTTTACGTACCTGCATAAGATATGTCACTTTGTTAGGAAATCTATGATGTGCAAATGAACCTATTAAATACCATTTTGACTTTGGGCTGTCTAATTTTTATAACTTAAGTGTAAATATTTCAGGAAGAGTCATTACCTCAAAATATGAGATGCATATCTGTCCTATGTCAATTTTTGAAAACACATAGCTCTTTCTCAATGAGGACTTCAACCTACAAGAAAATAAAGTAGATAGCCCAAATACCCAGTAAATTTCAGTTCAGAAACATTTTGCTTGTGGTTAATCATGTCGTATTACACCTGAGACTGCGGTGGAAGAAGTCGTTTTGAGACGTTCTCTGTGTTCCTTCTACTGAAAGTTCTTCCGACTTCTTCCACCGCAGTCTCGGGTGTAATACGACATGATTAGCTACCACCAGCTCGCCTGCACTCTCACCGTTTTTGATTGTGGTATCGGAATACTTCTACCTTCAAACAAGATTCCTTCATATGAAATTTGCAGCAAAAAGTGGAATTCAGAAAAATGCATTCAAACATTCTTTACTTTGTTACTGCTCACAATCTGTTAAAAATAGTTTATATCAGCAACTATCTGGCATGTGAACACATACCTCATAGGACAGATCTTATGAATTGCATGCCAACACAAAAATAAATACTGTGAGTAGTCGTAGTCTGGCGATGGTACTTCGCCGTCTACAGTTGTAATCCTTGCTTTCGTCTAAAACATTTTGTGTGCCGTGCTTTTTGCGCTTGTATAAGTGTGCAACCGTCGCCTCTGGGAGGGTCTTCCAAACAACGCTTTGGTAGCTCGTCCAGTCACTGGGATTGCGAGGCCACGCAGTGGCTGCTCTATTGCTAGCTTTTCCTCCGGCGTGATGACTTTTTGTACAGATGAAGCCTCCCAGTGGAATTTCTTTTGTTTTTTCATCATAAAACTGCAGACATGAGCCTGTTGACGCGACAGAATGAGCGTGATACGGATACCAAAATGGTGAATATAAACAAACAGTCACCTTATATCAAGCAATGCGTTTTTGTTTTAAGTTTCGGTTTCAATTGTTATGTGCACATATTTTTAGGCACCGGCTTTTGCGGGGAGAAGAGCGTTAGAATCGTGCGAACACAGTAGGTTGGAGTAAGCAAATTGGCCCTTTCAAAAGTGAGTCTGGCCACCCTGTCCAGAGCCAAATCTGACGCTCCAGTGGCAGCACAGCAGAGCCTCTCCGCACAAGGAAGAGCAAACTTCTCGAAACCGTACAGCAGAAAGCAGGGAATGCATGTTCTTTTTTGTGGGCTTAGATTCACAAAGTTTGGGGTGCCCGTTTTAGACTATCTTGTTCTCCGACCGCCGTCATTCAAGCGGCACTGTTAGAACCTTTCAGACTGCCTGTCGATGGCTGCGTCGTTTACGCCTAGGCTTTCCGCCGCTTTCTAACCGCCCGCTTGTGCACAGGTCTCCGGTGGGCAAGAGGGGCCGAAGTGGGTCCAAGTCTCCAAGCCGCCGGGACTCCCGTAACGGAAACCTGGACTGAGCGCTCCCCTTTTCCCCGTTGCACACAGCTCCCGCACGTGTGCCACCATATTCATCGGTTCGTCGCCCGCGGTGTCGCCTCCCATTCCTGCAGTAATCAGCTTGCCCTTCCCTGCATTGTTCTCGTCACTGAGCTCGTCTCGTCGCCACCCGGAACCCCAAGGTGGACGGGGGACGTTCTCATTCACCGTGTTTTTCGTCTGTCACGTGCTGCATGCATGCGTATCTCGAGACACTGGCGTGGAGACACTCCAAGCGATTGTTTCGAAGACCGTGCAACTGAAGTCTTCAACAGTGTGTATTGGCTTGCCATTGGATTGTCCTGGAAGTATTCAGTGCCACTTTTCATTCTTTCCTGTTTGGTGTCATCAAAATAAAAATTGCTCCTTCACCGACACTCGCACATTTTGTTCTTGCAGAAGTTTGATGGTGTATTTAATACTTCACCTGCAAATTCCAAGTGGGGGTTTGCTTCTGTTGTCCCATACCATGTCTTAAAGGGGCGATGCAATGATTTTCAAACTTTGGCCAATTAACTGCGGGAATTTTTGTCACCTACAGAATGAAGAACAAAACCATATTTTCTTGCACGCTCGCTCTAGTTTTTATTTAAAAGTGAAACAAATAGAAGGTCAAAGTGCCTCTCCAACGGTGAAGTAGTCTTCCAATGTACTTTGGGGGCAGGGGAATGATTTTCAAAGTTCTGCATTCTTAGTTAAATGCCCGTGTGAGCAATTCTTGAAAATGTCTGCCGTTAACCAGGACATTTCATGCACGATGAACCATATGCAGAGCACACTAATAAAAGGGGGAAAAAAATCTAATCCGGAGCATTATTGCGCAATGTGCCGTATTTGCGACTTTCTCAAAATAACTACCCTAATAGTTGCGATTAATACTTTTTGTTAGTCCTTCCTATACCTAATTTGTCAGTAAATATTTCTAGACCCGTAGCCGGAAGTTTTAAGGAAACCGCCCGAAGTGCCAACATTGCACGATACCCAAAACGCGTGCGTGACAGTGTGCTTATAAATTCTTTTCGTAAAGAATTTTTTTATTTTTTTTCCAAAACAAGGATTGTTTTTATCCTTGGCATGAAGCCAGCAAAATATTTTTCATCAAAATTAAAAATGGTTACCGGACATGGTCGTTCCCTCTTCAAGCAGGACACGCGGAGACCAAATACTAGATTCTTCTACTGCATCCAGCTTGCTAATTGGTTAGTTTGGTAGGCTCTACAGAAAAAGCTTGCCGCCCACTCCCCCCCCCCCCCCCCCCCCCCTTTTTTTTCCCCTCAATCTACAACAGGGTATTGGCAACATGTGCGACCAAGTGTCCCTGTGGTCGATTCCACGACTGGCCAACATTCGCTAGAAACCCTTTATTTGGATTAATTTTGCTTTGAACCAAAACTCCCGAGCTTGCACTGTAGTTTTTAGGCACATCTTTGAACCCGTTGTTTAGGAACAATAATTAGTAAGGATTACAACTTGTGACCTCGCAGAGAAGATTCCCTAGAGGATGTGGCAAGCACAAACGACGGGTTTCAGTATCGCCTCAAGTTGCCTTTGGCCCGAGCGAGATCAAAGGATCAGATAAGCATTGGGGGAGATCTTTCCACTTTGGTGGTAGGGCACATATCAACTCAAGAAAAAGCAAATACACTTGTTCCGCAGGCTTGCCATCTCACCTTGGCTCTAGGGAATTACAGTAGTAATATGGCAAGAGTGCTTATTTTTACTCCAAAGCCAATATAAATAATTTGGGGGCGTTTTGGCGGCTGCCCCAGTTCTGCTGTACAGAACTCTAGTGCAACTGCAGATTAGCTCATGTTTCAAGCGAGTCCCAGCTGCTCGAGTACTACGTTTCCCTGCATGGGCTAAAAGGGTGGACGAATTGCAAGTAGCCTTTATTTAGCGTTCCAATCGCACGGCACGGGTCAACATAGCATGCGGTGGTACGTTTCAGTCTCGGCGCCGCACAACTTTTGCTTCTTTTCTGCAAAATGAAAATGGAATCACACACAAACAAGATGGGGGGGAAAGACAGAGTGCTTTGCTCTGCTGTGTCTGCTGACGGTCTTCTGGAGTCGCCAGGAGTGCGGCTTGGGTGGTGCTCTGCCGCCCTGCACAGCCAAAGCCAGGAATTATTTATCTCAAATACCCTCAGGGCCACGTGGGCATTGGAGAGGTGAGTACAAAATAACGCCAATAATTAGCCATTAATTAAATACAACCAAAGTGCTGTTACCCTATCTGCAGTGATGCACCAGGTCAGTGGGACACTGATTTACAAATACTGTGGTGCTCACAAACTGCCAATGAATTGGGCGATTATAGCTCTGAAGTTAAACTGGTGGAAGAACAAAGGCTCTTTGTAGGTAAACTCGCGGAGCTAGCAGAAAACCCCAAAGGCTCTTGCATTAGCATCTGATTAAAGGGCAACTCCAGTTAATTCCGAGAAATTCGAGTTAATGGTTGGTTATACTTGAGGTGGTAATAAACGGTTCTATGTCATTTCTTCAAGAAGCATAATATTCCTTGCACAATCTTCATTTGGCTTTGCAGCGCTTTGCCCGCTAGGATGAGCAGATCTTGGCAACTTCATGCACATAACTTTTTCTTGCCAGTTTCATCAACTTTTAGACAGAATTAGATCTAAATATTCGGGCCTTTAATGTGATACGGAAGAAAATTTCCTTGTTTTCTAATTATGTGAAACAAACCAAAGTTGCCCTTTAAGGATGGACATGGGTCCATTTTCCTGCAATATCTAATGTGTGACTATCGGAAGACTAGGCTACTTATCTTAGAACTGGGGGACTAAAAGGAAGCAGACAGAAATTCCAAAGTTATGGAACAAAGATTGTCTGCTACAGTCACTGGCAGAATGAGACGGGCGGAGAGATCCTTCAGTTGTCCCGCCTCCACAGCAAGCTTCAGTGTCCCGCAAGTTTCAGTTGTGCGCACGCGGCCGAAGTGTGCTTTAACCCCTTAACTGGGGAGCGCATATTTCGACACGCAGCGATTTCGACCGCAGCTTGGGGGACGCGTCTATAGACGCGTTATACTTTCTTTGCTATTGGGAAGCTCGTCTTTAGAAGCCTGCTTGTTTTATTGCACGGGGAGGATGCGCCATCTATCCTCGTACATCGGAAACATTTTTAGTTTAAAAAACGATGGATAGATGGCAGCACAAAAAGGAAAGATTGGATACCTCTGTGTAACAAGCCTGACTGTTTGGAAAATGGCGTCCAGAAACGCCGACGTCCTTTGACTGACGAAGAAATCGCAGAGCTGCTGCAAAGTACCGACGAGGACTCCGACTGCGATGTTGATTTCTCGAGTTCAAATGAATGCTCCTCGGGATCCAAAACGGATATTGAAAATGAGGCAGCGGAACTGCTTATGGCAACACCATCAACTTCGGGGTCTGCTGTAACCTGGCAAGACAATGGCACGGTGAGAGATCCATTTCGATTTGTGGGAAGTGCTGGAGTTCACCTTTAACTTGATGATGAGAGCCCACTCAACATCTTTGAATACTTTCTTGATGACAAAACCTGTCGACTGATAGCAGACAAAACGAAAATGTACGCATTACAAAAAATCCTCAAAAATAGTGTCTCTGGCAAAATGAAGGCGAGAAGTAGAGAACAAGATTGGATACCCACAACTAAGGAAGAGGCCAAGCTCCTTTTAAGTGTCTGGATTTTGCAGGAGATTGTTCAGAAGCCCACCCTGAATTCATACTTCACGCGACACCCTTTATTGGAGACTCCAATATTTTATCAGATTTTCACAGAAAAAAGGTTCTGCCTACTTCTAAAGTACCTGCACTTCGCGGAAAACAAGGCGGCAGTGCCAGAAGACACGCTGAATTAAGACCTCTCCAAGACCTTAACCATCTCTTCGAAACATTCCAACAGGACTACGCGCCTCAGTGGGACATCTGCATTGACGAGAGCCTTCTCCTCTGGAAAGGACAACTTGGATGGAAGCTAAACATCCCCATGAAAAGAGCTAATTTTGGAATGGAATCTTTCAGACTGTGCGAGTCAGCAACTGAATGTGTGTGGAATATCATTGTCTACATGGGAACGACAAAGTATGAATGCAAAATCCCCGGAGCTCAAGCATCAAAACATGACAAGCCGTCCCAAGTTGTGCTTGCACTTTCGCAAGATCTCTCGCAATGGACTCTCAAATGTTACAGTGGCAAAGATTGGCCATTTACCATCGAAAGCTTCTCCAGCACGCCTCTTGGGACATTTCCCTGATTTCAACAAAGGGTCAAGCACCATACCTCCACAAGAGGTGTGTGGTGTGCCTTGCACACAACCAAAGAAGAGAGGAAATCTACTGTTGCAAAGACTGCAGTGTGGCTCTTCGTGTCGCTCCAAACTTTATGAACTATGATACGAAGACCAACTACTAAATGTTCATTGAACCCTGTAAATTGATGTAAATAAATTTGTTCTAGGTTCAGAGATTATTGAGATAGCTTCTAGAGCTAGGAACACTTAAAAAAAGAACTCCCCATTTTGCAAATAATTTGAGTCTGAAAAGTACCCAGTTAAGGGGTTAAGGCAACCAGCGTGTCACCGGACTACGCACTCGGACAAGCCTTCGTCATTCCAAAATGCACACTTCCTTTAAAACGAGCCTGCTATCAAAGAGAAAAAAATGCCACAACCTGTTAGCGTCTCTCACGCGAGAGGGATCGGCTTCCCGTGGATCGGCGCAGGCTGCGGGAGCGGCTGCGGCTACGACTTCTCGAGTAGCGTCTTCGCGGAGAGCGAGACCTGCGACGGACAACCGGGCGTCACTCCCACGTCTGAGTGCCGAGGCGCGATGTGCCACAACCCATGCATGTCCTACCAGAGGTTGCCCCCTCAGAATCCAAAGAACCCAACTTGTACACAAGGTACTGGGCAACCCGAGCCTCAAATGCAATAGCCACTAGACCTGGAGTATGAGTGCAACAAAAGAATGGTCTGTCCAAAGTCTGGTTCACACAGCAGCGTTTGCTTACACTGCATTACGTTAAGCACTCTTACGTAAAGAATCACCTAGACATCTGTGCTTCGTAAAGAGCGTGGTAACCAGTCTGAAGAGTAGGCTTGCACACGACATTCGAGGCACTGATGTTCCAGTGGCTTAGAACTAGTGTTGCGTGTTTTCAAATAAATAATAATAAAAAAAACTTCTCGGTAAACCTTTTTTTTTTTTTTTACAATTCAAATTACAATAACAGAAAATATATATATATATTTTAAAAATAAAATTTGTCTGAGAACAGGGCTAGTGGTGCTAAAAAAAAAAAAAAAGAGGCAAATTCCCATTTTTTCTTACTTTGGACTATTGACAAAAGGAAGTCTCCCGTTTATCTCAACAAGGTACGTTCAGTACAATGGGCCAATGTACATCTGGACCACGACAAAAGCTCCTGTTCCGGCTTCCAATTTGGATTATACTATTTGTGGGAGGAGCAGCTGTTTTCTTAAGAGTGAAAGATGTGAAACTGTTTCATAGAATGGGGAGGGCAGCTGAAGGATTTTTCATCTAGGACATTTTAAATTTCAAAGTACCGACGTTTATCGGAGTAACACTTGCTTTGAAGATTTGTCGTAGGACAGTTAGTACTGCCAATCGCAAGGGTACCAGTGCCAAATGCAGCTACAAAAATATCTTTCGATACCGGTGATTTTTTTGTCATGAATTTAGTGTCCAAGCAACATTTATTCTTATAAAAAAAAAAATTAAAGCTTTAATTTTGCAGAATAAGGAATCTAACAGAAAGTAAACTGTGATAAAACCCAAATTTTTAGGGGAAAATGAACAGAGAAAACACTGAATCCAACCTCCAACGTAATGCAATACGTAAGCAAACGTTCCTGTACGTACAGGCTGCATTTCTCACACTTTTTTATAAAATAGCTTTGCAGTGAAAGCCTAGCTCAATACAGCACTGCTCATTGGCCTCTGCTACGGCCGGACTGCGGGCGTCGGGTGCACTTTACGGTGCTTAGCCTTACACCAGTGAACTCACACCCAACACCATGTGCCACCAACACCTCGCAAGCTGTTGTTCCAACCCCAGATAGGTCAAAAGCTTAATCACTTCTTTGCCTTTCCCAAAAAAATGCACCTAAATAGCCGTAGGGTCACCCCTCCCTGCCATTACACATGACCCCAGAAAAAGAAAACAAAAAACAAAAACAGAACTAAGTTTTCAGTCTTGGCATCCAATGTGCCATGCAGCCCTCTGGCGTGGCTTTCCACATGTGGTGCCTCCTCCACAGCAACCTCCGAGAGCCCCAGCCAGAAAATACAATGAACACAAAATAAAAATTAAACCCTCCTCCGCTTTAACGCGGAGCTTCGAAACAGAGCATAGGAGAAAACCCCGTATTAGCAAAAGACATGAAACGGGTAACCTGTGCCGACGGCTGAGCTGATACGCCGACTGGCGAGCTAGGCGAGTCGCGGAGAGCGGAGGGGGCACGAGAAGGGAAGGACGGCGTCTGCCGCCGTTTGCGTTGGCTGGCAACCCCCGGTAGAAGCGAGTTGTTGGTTGTGGGGAGTTGGTTGGACGGGCAGCAGCCGCCGCAGCTGGCGTGGTGCGCCCCTCTTTTTGCGCCCCTCGTGCGGCGGTCGCATTTGCGCCTTCGGTCCCCGCGGCGTCGTTTTCGGGGGGACGGGGGTCGGTCAGCCGCGTCGGCGGCAAACACTTCCCGCGCAGCGAGATAGGAGTGTTGTGGTTGTTGTTGGATGAGAAAGGTGGTGGGTTGGTTGGGTCACTTTAGTCCCTCGTGGGGCTGAGTTAGAGATGAGATGACATGCCCTGAAAGGTGCGCCGTCACGGGTATCATTACCAAAACTCCGGACCCAAGGTAATTTTTTTTTTTGGGGGGGGGGGGAGGTGAGAAACAGCGAAGCCTAGGCACCACTGGGGGCAGCGAAGGGCCCCTCGAATGGCCCTTTCGGGCATGCGACACCGGTGCCTGGACTTGGCTGAAACGGCTGACAACCAGGTCAGGCAGAGGAGAAGCACAGTCTCTCTGTACCTGCCTTGCCCCCACACAAACAATCACCTCTTGTTCCACCAACTCCTCAAATGCAACAACACTTTCTCAGATGCTGCGAGAGAGGTTCCGAGCAGCGGCTCGAGTGCGGGGAAGGAAACGAGAAAATGTGACGCGCCATAAAAAAGGAATGTTTTGCCAGGCACAGATAACAACCTTGAAACCTACCTTGACCGCTTGGCTCCATACCCACCGTAACTGAAAAAACAATGAAGAAAGAAAAAAAAAAAAAACACAACAAGACCCCAATGTTGCACATGCTCTCCATGGAAAGGCAGGAGTGAGATTATCGTTGTTTCCACCACCGAAACTCCTAACAATATTCCATTCGCCTAGAGAATAGCGAACAGCACCATCGGAGCCGGACGTGAGCTCGCAGAGCACCTAGGTTGGACATTTACATGTATGCTTTGAAAGGTCACGGAAGTGACGTATTGGCATCCAACTGGTAGAGGCAATTTCCTCCACCAATCGGACGCCAATATGTCACTTCCTTGTTTTTTTTTTAATATTCATGTAAATGTTCAACCTAGGAAACTAGGTGCCTAGATCTAGCAAGTAATGTTCCTACAAACATTCGCATAACACAGGTTTTGCTATACACGTTTGCAACTATCTGGGCACTGCCCGCTTGCTGTTGGTTGCCTGATAGTCGAGCCTAAATGAATGGAAGGTAGTGGCCAAACCCTTAGTATTGGGTGGTACCACCTGGTGTAGAAACACCTACCCCTTTCCCATAATTGTTAAGGTGTGTTCACAGTTGCCAGACTAGTGGCCCAACAAACCATCTCTCACCCATTCTATTGGCCAAAGTGGCCTTTAAAGCGCGAATGCTTGCAAACATGTGTAGTCACCTGGTTCCGACTCCCAGAATGCTGCACGAGACTATTTCGAGATGAAGACAAAGAAAAAACATTCCCAACTTTGGCAGCATCAGACTTGCTAGCTTCTGCATGACCAGACAAGCCAGCCCTTCACCTTATGGCATCTGTTTTTTTCTTCTTCTCTCTCATAAATGTGTAGTTCCACCGATTTAAAGTGTGCCGCTGATGCATACCAGCTTGGAACGTCAAGCCCTGGATTTATTTCCCACAGTAGAAGTTATGCACTCCATATTAATAGCCTAGTGCAATGCTGCAGGGACCGCGCAACGCTCGCCACGAGAGACCATCACCAAGTTGAGCTTTGTCACGTTACAACCTTCCAAATTGGATGCGTTTAGGGACTTTAGACAAGAGCAACATCCTGCAACACGGTATAGACTTTTCCAGACACGACTGGGACTAAAGGGCTCACATTTAATTAATTGCAACAAAAACCAACGTCCCTGCACCAATGCGCAAAGCATGAAACCCGTGGCACCTTATGGGGAAGGGAATCCAACCCTCACACCCCTAGCAGCTAAGCCAAAACCTAAACACACAGGGACATCACGAACACAAATTATTTGTCCGCGTTTCCGACGCAGGGGTGAACCGACGTAGCCGAATGCCACAGCAGCATTTGGCTGGAGCTCGTGTCCAACTGGTGCTCAATCAACCAATGCTAGCTATGCCAAACTACCCAAGTGCCAAGAAGCTTGTGCAGTCACATGCACTGCACATGTCGGTAAAGCAGCAACTGTTCAGAAGCAAAACTCAAAACAAATAAAACACTCCACGCTTGTTCATCAATGCCTTTTTTTGGTTATTAACTTTGAATCTCTCATATAGATAAGCATATCAATCTTTCATATAGATAGCTGTGCAGTGCGTAAACCTACGCTCCCAGCATTCTCCTTGATGCCTGGGTGATTTGGCAAGAGTTCTTTGAGCACGAGACCCAGCCAAGTTTCACAGGCCTTGTCAGGTGGACACCGAGCTTCGCGGAAAACATGCCGGACAGAGCGCCCCGCATAGTACAACCTCCTCGCCAATAGGCACCAACACTGAACATCACGGTAAAAACGGGCAGTGTAGAAAGGGTGTCATAATTACCGTGGGGGTGCTGGGGCTGGCCGTCTGCTGGCACCACCCCTACGTGACCGGCCGTGGGACATTTCCACCCGCACCCTCGTCCCACAAAGGCGGCTAGACCGGGAGAGGCAGCAGTGTCACAGTACGGGCAACCACGAAACGAGGCTACCCGTGTCACAGTGGTGGTTACCAACACGATTGAAACGATAGGAAGCGCATTTCAGCACTTCCGAATCTAGTGCCGCTTCGATGCTGAGCGAGCTTCAATTCTAGCTGGAGCAATAGATGGACGGATGCATATGGCTGAACATCTAAAATTGGGCGGCAGCTTGCGCCACCTAGGCAGCGTTCTAACAGCGGATGCCCTCGAAAGGCACTCTCTGCTGTTCGATTGTTGGCGACCACAACAGTGTTCGACAAAATGGCGACAGATATGCTTTGCAGGAAATCTGAGCGAGACACCAAAGGTGAGCATTGAAGTTGGCAAAATGGACTTTTAGTAAGTTCATATTACAGTGCTTGTTAAGCTACTATGAGATGCTAGCTGCGACTGTAACGACCAATGCAACATTCTAGTACGCCACATCGAATGTAGCATGGGGCTGTCCAATAGTGCATCGATTTCAAAATCCAACTCCAGCTCCACAGAAAAAAACTCTGAATTTGAAGGTAATTACAGCGAGAGCTCCAACAGAAAGCAAATGACAGGGTTGTCATTAACGAGCCTTCTTCTGGTTAGCAAAGGTTAGCGGTGGTGGAGATGGCAATATTCTGAACACTTTCATTTTGCATTTAATTTTCATTATTATCTTTTATACAACTCCATGAACTAATGATTCAACCAGTTATTTTAGGAGATTTGGCTCGGTGCAAAGGCACGTAACCGTACCGGCAACTTGCACGAAGGTGGCTTTACCTGCTATACTGGTGGTTTGTCAAATAAGTTAACCTTGCACCATATTGGTCGCTGACAGACTGAGAACGGCAGGGCGTCTCATTCAGATGCTCGGCCGAGTGTTTAAAGCTTGCACCGGAGGAAAGACCGTTCCCCCCGCCGTTCTGGCTCTGTCAGTGACAACAGATGCACTTGGACGCAAGCTGCCAGAAGGGCAGACGGGAGCGTTCAGAAGCCGTGGAGGACGTCACACACACCTGCCATCTAGGGCGCGGCAGGCATCTTCAGCATCGCGCGAGTCCTCAAACTCGACGAAAGCAAAACCGGGCGGATTGCGGGCCACCCAGACATTGCGCAGGGGCCCGAACTTGGTGAAGGCAGCCTCGATCTCGTGTTTGGCCGCCCCACTGCCCAGGTTGCCCACATAGACCTTGCAGTCGAGACTCCACTCCCTGTAGACACGTTTGGAGGAGGGGAGGGGGGTGCGCAGACGGGGCGTAGAATACATGTCAGTGGATTCAGTACCGCGGACTCAGGTTTGACATTCAACATTCAAGACGTCGCCAGTGGAAACGTTGAGGACAGTCGAGATGCGCTACTGGAGGGAGACGTTGAGACGGGACGGAACGTAAAACGGTCGAAGAAGTCTACGGCACACAGACGGTACTTTAACTTAACGTGGGACGGAGCTGATATTTAAAACTGTGATCGGAGACTTTTAATGCGTGGTGCGGTTTATTGTAGCAAGAACGTGGTCAGCACCTACCATTCGCGGCGAGATGGCGGTTGACGCATTCGAATGCTAGAATCGAACATTAAAATAGCAATCAAAAATTTCCGATATCGATACATATATCTATCTACATATATATATTTATTTTTATTTTCTATCTGCCGTGTGCAAGCAGCGATGGCTTTGGCATGTCCAGTAACGCTCGTTCAAAGGAACTTCAGCGCCGTTGTAAACGATCGATTCGAGATCTACACGTTTATTTTAATTATTTGTTTCAAAGCGCTCTATTTTTTTTTTTTTTTCCTCAAAATTATGTTGGACTGGAGCAGGAAGCTGCGAGGCGTAGTATAAACTAGGCCTAGCGAGATGTTCTATTGTGCATGATTGATAACCATCGCTGTGAATGCTTCGTGCTTTCAAGCCGCGGAGCCATCAAACTGCCCCCCAAAAGTAGTCGACGGTTAACTGGAATTCTGATTCACTTACATTGTTTGTCCGACCGTGGTTAGGCAGTAATTTTACCACTAGAACGAATTCTACGTTCAGCTGTTCCTCAGCTCGGTCGGTACTTGCTCGAGTTGGAACGCCCGGATGAACGCAAGAGGCGCGGCACGGGGAACGTATACTAATATCATATTGCGTATCGTCATTTGTGGCGCTGCTAACGTGGCACTATTATAAAAACTGAGACTAAAACTAAGTTAAACGTCCCGTAACTTGAGTTATTTAAAAAGTATAAAACATTTTATTAGTAACTATAACATTTTCTTTGGTACTTAGTGCATTGCACAGACCTTTATGACAATTTACTGGATTACGCATCCCTGTTTCGCGAGTGCGGCTACCACTGATGCGGCACCGGATGGCCATCTTGCATGCAGAAATATTTCATTTCGCTAGCATTGCAGAGGCCGGCGGCAGCGTGTGAAAGCAGCACGTTTTCTGTTCGTTCGTCGAGATTCTCCATAAAATGTTTTTAAAAGCATATGTAGGCCGTGGGACTTGCCGTTGAGAACACGTGGAAATTTTTACGAAAGCGCAGTGCCGTAGGAAACAGGCACAACTCGTCGAAAGCAAGTTTTGCGGGTCTCGCGGCGTGGTCAAAGCTTTCATGGCACGCCGAAGTGCTGGGACTCTGTGCCTTCGCAAGCTTGGATACCGATCGAGAATCGACGCCGTGTGGATGTGTTTTGCGAGTGCAATATGCGTGAAGCCGTATGTAAAGGCACAACTCGTCCAAAGCAAGTGTCGCCGGTCTCGCGTCGTGATCAAAGCTACCTTGGCACGCCGAAGTGCTGCATCTTTGTTCCTTCGCACGCTTGGATACGGATCAAGAATCGACGTCGCGCCAAAGTTTTCGAGGTGTGTCGCGCCGTAGATGTCTCATATACACATATCGGCCACGGAGTTCTGGATCGTCCAGCTATTCTGGTGAGTATCAATAAAGGGGAGGTCTGTACGGTTGCTCCTATGCACTATGGCTATAATGTTTCAGATCTACTCTAATGGATCACAGGGGAGCACAAATAGAGCAACGCTGTGCAGCAAGGAGGGTTTTTGAAGGCAAAAGTACAAGACGGCGAGAATGAAAATCTTTGAAGCGCGGCCCATATGGTCGTGTTCAATCTGTCGACCAATCACAATTAGGCCAGTCGCGCTCAAACGTCAAGTGCAATTAAGTGTTGATAAAGAGCCAGCACTGATCAGCGATGAGGAGCTGTTGTGCGCGGTGTTGTGTAAATCGTCTAACGATACCCACACCCATACCAGAGGAGTGCAACTTCCTATACCGCCCATGGAACGCAAATTGGAAAACCCTGGGAGGCCGCAGCGCCATTTGAATCCCCTGGTATCTGGTGGCTGTACTAAAATCAACATGGCGGCACAGCGAAACCAAAACCGAAACTGCGCGGCAGCGCCATTGTGTTTGGATGGATGGGCGGTAGCTTGCGCCACCTAGAGTTAAAAATATATATATTGTAGCTTTTTTTTTTTTTTTTTTGCCCGGTTTGCGCGTTGCTTTGCTAGGCTTCTGCTGCTTTGCGGCTGGTTTTCGCATTTCAATGCTGGTTAATGTGCGTTGAAACGCACACAGCAACGAAAGTGACACATACACAAAAAATATGCAATGCTTGTCCTTTAGCGTTCATTTTTATTCAACAGACAGTAGAAAATACAGACGAAATTTCTCACTGTTTTGCACACGAGAAACAAAGAAATGAACAACAAAACAGGATAAAACGTTAAGGTTGCGTGCGACGAAGGTGATGATATGCGTTCTTGCAAATTCGATTATATAAGTAAGCATATAAGTAAAGACCGACGACGGTGTCATAATTGCAACTAAAGGAAACTAAGCAATGAGTACCAAGAAAAACAGCTGAGCTCTTTGGTATTGAGTCTTCATCGAGAACCTGCCCATTCGTTTTTAATATTATCACTTAAATTTAGGAGTGAGTCACTGCTAAACGAAACGGGAAACCAGAGCGGATCGCTCTATCGCTCATCCTCGGTTAATCGAAAAATATTTAGGCTAATATTTTCACTCCTCGCGAACAGACGCGTGAATCGCTGACAACAGTGCCAAATAAACAGCTCACAGCAAAAAGTTTGCCATCTTTTAAAGTGAGCACATGTGCTCGATCTTGATATGAAAAAGTCTACACAGAAGTCTCCAGTAATTTGACAATGACATATTTCTCGCGGCGAGTGAAGAGCAATCCTGAACAATGATAGGATTTGGTTTTGTGATTGGAAACCATTGTAGCTATTGCCAAAATCAAACAATTAATACTCACTACCACTGCGACAGTTAGGTTTTGTTGCAAACATCTAATCAGAAACTTAAGCAAGAGAAGACCAAAAGAGCGTACCGCACGTCCATTCGAACTCGAAACCATTGGCAGTCATTGTTTCCCCACTTGGCATATCAGGTGGTGTGTTGATGACGAAAATCCATGCTTGACCACATTACCACATTACACCAACAACAAGTTCCCACGAAAAAGAAAAGATAGCCGCGCGCGCACGAACGCGGGACGAATCTCGCGCCGCGACGCACTCCCAGAAGCGAAACAACACACCGGCTCGCGTCCCTCGCGCGTTCTAACGGTCCACCGACTTCCCGTCGCCAGCGGCCAGCGCATCTCGAGGCGAGAGGCGCGGGTTCGGAGAGAGAGAAAGCGCGCCCAGACACGTTGAAAGAGTGAAAGAGAAAGTTACAATAACAGGCTTCAAAGCCATTCACACCTTCAAAACAACTTCACCTTTATTTCGCATCATTAGATATATGAATCAATTTTATTTAAAATGAAATAACAAGTGCCAACAGCCGCTGGGAGCGCGGCAATCGGAAGCAGTTCGCCGGACCGGACAAACGTCATAAGTATACGCGGCGGGACGGAAGTAGCCGAGAGCTTCACCCCACTGCCCATACTATGGAGGCTCACTGTACCCGCTAATAAGGTAAATAATAGGAATAGTAGTAGTACTACTGCGTGGTGCATGTTAAAGACCCCAGGCTAGCGGTTGTACTGCACTGGCTAAATGAGACAAGTCGCCCGTTGAGGCAGACTAACTTCAGCTGTATAAACATGCACACCGAACTCATCAAGCGCTCGGCACATGCGTGACGCCGCCATGACTTTAGTTGACTTTGACAGGCAGCAGTGCACGAGACTGCTCGTGCCGCCTCATGCTCTGGATGCGCATTGATTCAGCCAGGTTGTCGCACGTGCATACTGATCTCTATCACAATAGCTGGATCGCTTCGGCGTGCCAAGGAAGCTTTGATTAAAGCCCCTCTATCCTGGGAAAAGTAGCGCCATTCATTGTTGTGCAAATGCTCGAGAAATGTGCCGCGCGCCACTTCTGGGAAGAACATGGCGCCTGAAATCTTGCTCAGCGCTGCCGCTGCGCCGCCATGATCTCCCCAAGGGGGCTGCACGTTTCACGTGCCTCGCGCATCGACGCACCTTGCGCTACTTGTGAAACATGAAGGAGCTTTAGCTTTGATCATGCCGCAAGACCGGCGAGACTTGCTTTCGACAAGCTGTGCCTTTTCCTTGCGGCACTGCGCTTCCGTAAAAATTTCCACGTGTTCTTAATGGCAAGTCTCACGGCTTACACATGGTTTCAAAGAACGTTTTCGGCGAATGACGACGAACGAGTAGAAAACGTGTCTTCAGCATGCTGCCGCCTTCCTCCGCAACCAAGGAGATTAGAAGGGTAGGAGGGGGCATGCCGTCAGCCGCGTAGCTTCCACAAGACATGCTCCCTTGACGCCTCGCTTCTTTCTCATTTTCCTCCTTAGCCTCCTCACTTACCGGCCTAGCACGTGACCGTCGCGTGGTTGATGGTTGCAGGTAGCGGGGAGCGTGGTGCTGGTGGCTTTCATTCATCAGTCATCATATGCCACAAACTGTGGCCCGCGCCCAGCGTTGGCCCAGCCGACCGACTCTACACCTGCTGCGCTTCGTTACGCCTTCTGTTTTCTACAGACCGTTACCATCCTGAAAACGACAGTATTCAACGTGGAACGTCAGCGCTGTAACGAAGTCTGTTGGCGTGTTTTGGGTAATGTACCGTGCATCTGCGGGGAGTGTTCTCTTTATGTTCTGGCCACTGATTTCTGCAGTAGCCAAAGCAAGAATAAATTATATACACCCTTGATTGCGTAACTGTGTCAACCCGACAAATTGGACCAATACTTACGCATTTTTCCACGATGCTTTCCGCGCTCGCCTGCAAATGAAAGCTGCGCTCTCATCGCTCTCATATGTTATATATCACGCTACAATACGTATTGGCTTTTTCTTTTCGTTGCGGCCCGCTATGCAGGTCGTCCACTGGGACGTTTTATTGCTGTCGTGAAAAATTGAACCAACTCAACTTGACTCGAGGTCGAGAGATGTTTTATTGACAATTGGAAGTGCACGGAGCACACCACGCTCTACTTCGATGGGGTCCAGCCACCGCCGCGACCATCATTTCCGCAGTTCGGCGACCGTCGGAAATCTAAGAGAATTGTTCATCAATTCCTGTTATCGTAAAACTACGAGTGCGTGTAATACGCCAAGGGCTTACCGGTGAAAGGTAACCCCCGCTGAAGAAAAGCCAGTCCGATTGCGGCCAGCCGACCACGGTGCAAGTGCCCATCCCGTATGAAATTAGCGTCCCGGCCACCGTGGCCCCGGCGATGCCAGGCTTTCGTTTTCTCCGTTGCGGCGATTGCCCTGATCGTCCCGTGTACCAGCAGCGGTGTGTCGTCGGCTCGTGATTCGTCTCAACCTCGCTTGTACCTTTGCATTTAATTGCATTATAATCTCAACCGTTTCTTGCTTGCTTCACGCCTAGCCTTCGATCTCATACAACCTACCGGACGGAGCGCGCGCAAGCCTGCAAGGGATCCTTCTACAATCAACCATCCATCTCGCACGTGACATGTCACGCGCACCAATTACCAGAGAGATCTGCGGTCACGTTGGGCACACTATCGTTTAAAACTTTTCATGACCAGGCTTCACATGTATTGTAACGTGCCCCCTCCTAGTATTTATAACCTCCTTGTCCACAACACTCCAAAAACGCGATTTTTCGACATGCAAGATGGCCGTCCGGTGGTCGCACACGTGGAGAGGGGATGCAGAAAGACTAAGGTTCCCTGGATGCATTGCGAACGGCGGCTTAAAGGGGCACTGACACCTTAAAGATCGTTTTTTTAATTGTCTAAAACGATGCAAATTGTAGTCATAGACAAGCAAAAAAAAAAAAAAAAAAAAACAACACATCGCGAAAAAAAAATTTTTTTCACGCGCGTGAGTGCCTTTTTATTTTTGACGTTTTTCTCTTCCGCTCCTCACCTCCTCGCTTCCTTTGATTTCTGACGTCAAAATTCATGAAATTCAGCACCTGTGTAGGCGACATTTTTATAACATTTAATAAGGACAATCGTAAAACATGTTTTTTTTTTTTTTTTTTTTAACGCAATTGCGAACGCACTACGGCCCTTCTTTTTGAAATTCGAAAAATCGGAGTCCGTTGTGATGTCGCCTCCTGGATTTTTTTCCTCCCTCGGAAAATATGGCGGCGCTCGACGCATGGAGCAGAGGGTGATCGGTGATTCGGGGAATCGGACAAAGGGGTCTTTTTTAGGTGCCCGACGACCTTTCAGACTTCGAAAAGGAAATCGTCAAACGGTCCAAACAACTGGTTTGGTGTCTGTGTATCGTAGTCGTAGTTTCGGTTGTGACACCGCCGGGGCAACCGTCGTCTGCTCGGAACGATCGGCAGCACTGCACGCACGCAGTGAAACCGGTTTCCCGGTATACGCCGGCGCCCTTCTCTCCCGCTCCTCACCTCCTCGCTTCGGGTCACGGGCGACACGTTTCGGAGCGGAGGCGCGAAAGAAACTCGGCTCGCAGGACCCCTCAATATTTGACGTCACTCCACTGGCGCGAGTCGCGCGGAAACTTCAAATTCGGCATTTAGAATTGTTTTTTTTTTTACCTCACAAATACTGAATTCCCCAGTTCGAATTTTCAAAGTAATGACCAGGCATCGTTTTCAATCGTTCCGCATAATAATAATAAAACAAAAATTTTTGACGAGTCATTGCCTTTTTTAATCAAACTGACTGGTGAGATCGGTCTATTTGACGGAATGACTTTTAAAAGATCACAATCAATGGTTGAGATGCCAGAGTTTTGCCCACGGGTGCTAAGCTGGCTAAGGAGGCCACCACGGCTACCAAAGGCAAGCTATGTTGTTTCAGCTTAGGGTCCAGATGCAGCCGGTTTCGGTTTCGAGCAGTTGCGTTTTTTTTACTTTATTAACAATTACGTGATGCTGTAGCAAAGGTAGTCTTCTGACATCATCATAAAATGGCCTGTCAAAAAATTAAAAAAAAAGTCTGGGGGGTTGTCATAAGTATAGTCAACTTTTTGTAACACGCACTTACCTCATCGGTGATTCCCCCCCCCCCCCCCCCCTCCCCCTTGTTTTTTTGAAGGCACCCCCTTAATTCGCGACGACTCCTCTATTCTCGATGCCCCCCCCCCCCCCCCCCCCCCCACCCCCCCCCTTCCCCACCTAAAAAAGTTAGACACTCCCCTAATTTCAGTTATTCTGGAAACCCCTGTACGGTACGCCTCATGCAGTGGTGTTTTCGACTTTGACAGCTACAGAGTTAGAAATATTTGATGAAGACATTCTCGGGCGCACAATTCAATACGGACGTGAGAACACGGAAAATGGGGGAGATTATGAATGTTTTGGTCCACTTGACTTTTTAGCGCGCAGCTCTTAGGCGCCCCTTTCCGGGTTGAGCGTCGTCGTCGTCGCCGTCGCCGTCAGGCGTAACCGCGCGTTGCATTATGGGACATTTCCCACAATGTCGTTACGAGGGTCACAAGTGACGTTACAAGGGTACCGAGATCACGAGGGTGACATCACCCTCGTGACGTCACACGGGCATACCCTCCCCTCCCCTTTTCCTTCTCAAGAGCTGCGCTCTTAATCTGCATTACGTCTTTCATTTTTTTTCTTCTACAGATTGTATGCGCGATTTGCACACTCTGTGTGTCTGTCATATTGGTCAAGCTCTGCTCAGGCTCTACTCAGGTCACATGCGGCATGGACACGTGGTTTGCGGAGTCGGCGCCTTGAGGGAGAAAGAGACGTCATGGGTGCTCTTCGGCGGTTAGGTTTTTTTTGTTTGAAGCCGCATACAAGGGCAACGAAAACAACGGGACGAGAGACGTACGCCTCTCGTCCCGTAGTTTTCGCTATGAACTTTTTAATAAACAATTCACGTCACGGCTAAACTATAATTATGAGATCGAACGTGAATTGGGCAACTACATTTTACGATTAACCCCCAAAATGAAAATTAAAAAAAAAAAAGCCTGCAGAGGTAGTCCCCTGCCTGCCTAACCTTGCGAGACACCCCACAGTACCACTATAAAGATTTTATTATTATTATTATTATTATTATTATTATTATTAATTTAGCCCATTTCACCTCTTTTCTAAAGCCGCCCGATCCCCAAACGGTTACAAGGCTATTAATAAATAGCCCAAACACGTTTCCCCCCCCCCCCAAAAAAAAAAAAAAAAACTTGTAATTTTTTTTTTGCGAATAAAGTTTTTTTTTTTAGAGATTTTGTACTGTGTTGTCTGTTGTTTCATTCCTCCTAGCCTCAGCTGGTTTTGGATTATGGCGATCATTGTAATGGTCTGCAAAGGTGCAAGCGAGCGGGGACGTTTTCCACTTTTGCTATACCAGAGTCAGTGGCGTCACAAAGGGGGGGGGGGGGTGGGGGGGGGGGGGGGGGGGGGCGGACCGACCCGGGTGCAGAGTTCCAGGAGGTCTTGCGGCGGGCGACGAGCCATGGGGGGGGGGGGGGGGGGGGGGTCGCTGCGGTCCACCGCTTTGGGTGCCGCTGACCCTAGTGACGCCACTGACCACTTTGTTGCGACAGCACCTCTATTAATGCTAAATTACGGCATGGGACATCTATACATCTTTTCCAGAGGGCGCAGCCATCTTGAATGTCGTCACTTTTGGTATGCGGTAAAACATCGTTTTGATCTCTCCACGCCGCTAGATCTGTTTTGTTTTGCCTCACCTATATTTTCTCGCATAATTCAAGCTGAAATGTTTTTTTTTTTTCTTAATAGATACGGCAGCCACGTGACTGAGAACGACAGAAAACTGAAAAACGAGGACAAAAAATTGGGGAGAAAAGCCGACAAAAAAGTGAGGGCCGGCCCGGTAAAGAGCTCAAGTGGCACCCAAAGCTCGCGGGGCTCTCGCTCAGACCAGAAACTGGTCCTAGATACGTCGCCTCCCTTTTTGAAAGACACAGTGAAGGCGACGAGGGCATTTTGAGTCGCCTGCATTATCGCTCATTCTTCATAACCTCGTGGCTCTAGTGATCCGTTCGAACCACTCAAATGGATGCTATTGTTTTCGTTGTGTCTGCGAGGAGTTGGAACTTCAAGTTGACTTTCGGAATGGTGACGGCATGTTGACATTAAATTTGAAGCAGGTCAAAATAAGGTCAAAATAAAGGCTGTTCGAAGGCAAAATCTCAGGGGGGGGGGGGGGGGGGAGAGAGGGGTCGGGACCTCCTTGATCCCCCAGCGATTTACGCCACTGCTCTGAAGCGTAGGTTATTTAGTGGCACTAGGTCGATCGGCTCTCAAGACGAGCGAGCGCTCGCGGCACCTATAACTTTGACTCTATTGCCGCCGCTGGCGCCCAAGTATGGGTCCTCTTCTTTTTTTTTTTCTCTGTATGTATACTGTCTTTATTGGACCCTACATGTTGTTGTACTTGAGCTTGTTCATAATAGGAATAAAGAAAAAGACATTGGATGTTTTGGCGCAACTCTCCACTGGCATCATTTAGACATACGAGAATAAAAAAAAATATATATATATATATATTTTGTTTTATCTTTTTAAACCGGGGGTGAGGACATGAATTAAAAATAAGAACACAACAATTTTTATAAGAATACAACAATACAACAATGCGCACAACAAAATCTGTGACCCAACAGAGATGGCACACAGACGAAATAACAAACACGGTTTTATTGTTTTTCCACAAAAAAAACGTTTATATTTTAAGACACACAATGATGATCAGTGTTGCCTGACTTTGTACAAGGGTTAAATAAGAACAGAGTTGCCGTAGGCTGTACACGTATATACACGGGAGTGTGGTTCCTTCTTTAGAGGCGGACGGCCCTGACGTTCACTCCTTTCTTGATCCTCAGCACGAGCGGATTCATATCAATCTGGGGCGGATCCTGCGCACAAAAACAAAAGGTAAGTCAATTCCATGGCAGATTTAGCACGTAGCAGCTATATCGAAGCAGTCCACAAATACCTAAAATACAAAATCATTATTAAAAAACAACAACGACAACAGCAACATCGGTACAACTTTTGCCTGGTGCTTGTCTTCTCACTGGTTGAGCAGGACTCTCATATCGGTACGCAGACGAAGCTCTCTTATACAATCATGTACCCCGCACTGGTCTCCGCTTGGTGACGTCGAAATCCTACCGCTCCCGGCCTTATCATCTATAGGAGGTGTTGGGAGAGCCTTACCACGTCGCTGTTTTCGGTGGCCTCGAGTCGATACTTGCGGAGAACGTTGGCTAGGGTGAGCCTGAGCTCCATGTGGGCGAAGCGCATGCCGATGCAGTTTCGGGGTCCCGCCCCGAAGGGCTGCCACGCCAGCGGGTCGAAGTGCTTGTTCTGCGGCAGGAACCTGCAGGGGAACGCAGGGGCGAGAACCGATTCGATAACGTCGCCAGGAACTGCCGCCTGGTCCGCGGCATTGTCGTGCCTAGCCGTTATTTTATTTAGTCGTGTCTAGGGTTTATGATATGCCCGTGCTGGACAGTACTTCACGTCCATTGTGCTTTAGGAGACTTGTATTCTACTTGAAGTACATTCTTTAGTATGTACAGTCTTTGCCAAAAGCTTAAAACCCACCGTTCAAGAAAATCTTTTTTTTTTTCTTTGTTCAGGGGCCTTTAAAGTATACATTGCCCAAATTTGGTCTCGTTCAAATTTGTGTCTCAAAATTATGCTTTGTCAACTCTGAAGAAATGCTGGAATGGATATTTTACTCTCACCAGAAACGCGAGCAGACGATGCATCGCTCCGTTTGTACTGGGAGCGGCTTTCCCGCAGCATTTCGAACTCTCACTTCTCACTAGGTCAGCGCGTGCGAGGAGATTCAAATACTTAGGAGGGGGCCGTAAGAGGACTATTTGCGGAAGCTACGGGTCTGACTCCCCCATCCAACATTCGCCGCACACAACACACACACACACACACAAAAAAAAAAAAAAAAAAAACAACGAAAGAAAGAAAAAAAAATGCATGGGGGAATAAAGGGGAACGATGAGAGATTATGCTAAAAAGCACTAGTGTAATTTACATTGAAATTACATTGCATTTATGGTACTTTGCTTCAAGTATATTGCGACCGGTGTATTTCCTACTTGAAGTACATGACCTCTCAATAACGTTGTACCTTACTTTAAGTACTTTTTAGATGCACTTTACCCAACTCTGGATTATGCTGATAGACGGTTGTCATATCTCCGATGGAGCCTCCGTTACACGCGAAACTTCTGCTGGGAGAAGAGTCACTCATGGCGTTCCACGCGAGGGTTTCTAGTTTGGTGAAACGCGTCGGGGGATTTTCACACAGAAGTTCATTTGAAACAGATGACAACGCACAATTCACCACCGTTTGCATCCCGACTCGGACTATTTCTACAATCGCAACAGCCGACTGAAATTCTATAGACGCAGCTCGCCGTTTGTACCTCGATGAGGGCTTATCCTTTACGCCGCTGCCATGGTGTCTAGCGGGCTTGAGGGACCAGCATCCAAGCAACATTGATCTTCTAGATAGTACAGTAAACCTCGAATAAATCGATAGATTTTAAGGTCAGATTTATATGCCTCGAGCGCGACATTAACAACAATATAATTCGAAAAAAAAAAAAAAAAGATAGCGAAGTTAGTGCGAAAAAAATATTTAAAAGTACTGCAAAGTCGGCGGACACGACAGCGAATTTGATTACATCCTGCACTTGAGCGTATTTTCGCGGGTGCCATAGAAATTAGTGGTAGTGGAAGACAGTTACTTTCCCGTTTCTTCTACTTTGGTTGCTTCATGACGGTTCATTTTCGCCTCGGTCTCTATCGAGGAACGTCGTATAGTTCTTTGAACTACGTCTTGTGACATAACGTTTTGGAAGCAGATTGACCAAATACCGTGGAAGCCAATACTGGCAACTCCCGCGGAAAACAGGCGAAAAGTGACTGCAGCGCCCCTGGCGAGCTCGGAGACTCCGCTAGCAGACAAATTCTCCAAAATGCATTGGTTTTGTCTATCTCCGTGCGAGGTGACCAACAAAAAAAAACTTGTCATGGGCATTCGCAGCTTTGAAAGTTAAAAAAATGGGTGCCAGCTCATGAGTGAAGGACATTCTCTTCGCGTGGGAAAGATGTTACAGCTTTCTGGGCGCGATTTCGGAGTTCTCCCAAAGAAAACATTCTGTCACAACTTATGTAAGCCAAGCAAAACACGGATGTATGCCTTCACGCTCTTTCGTGAAAAAGGGAAATGTACAAACATTTCAGAACATAGCTTCGTTTCAACGTTATTGTTATTATCAGTCAATTCGTTTTGTCGTTGCAATTCCCATTTCTCATGAATGTCTTGCTTATAACCGTTTCGTCGAACAGGCGAGCTGGCTAATCCCGTTAAGATCGTCTCGGATGAAGAAGCAGAAGTCAATTTTGAACCACGTACGTTACGGCGATGTCAGTAGGCTCCGAAAGAAGTCGTTGTGCATATGCAAATCTGACGGGATTATAGATTAACAAAAGTGGAGTTACGAAAAAAGCAGACTTCTCGCGCTTGGAAAGATAGAAGGGGAGAGCGTCGTAGCCCCGCGAAAAAGGTGATTTCAGCTACGTTATTTTCAGTGCACAAATTCCGATTGTTAGCGCGGGGACGACCAACATCTTCTGCTTCGCTGCTTCTTCTACGACAAAGGCCGACACCCGTTGAACTGTCTCCACTTTTTCCATTTTTGAGTCTTTTATATTTTTGAGGCGACGCCACTCTGCCGCGTTATTTCTTCCTCCTGCTTATATGTTGCTGTGTATATTTTTTGTTTTCTTTCTGCTTTTTTTTTTGCCCGACGTGTAAACCATTGTGTATCCTTGCTTTGTTTGGCTTAGCTTTTACTCCCTTTCCTTCGCTTCGGCGCTACTACCCCTGGTTCGTCTGTGCTAGGCCCGGGCATTTTGAGGGCTGTCTGCAACTTTGCTGTTGTTGTTGTTTTCTTCCACTGTCGTCTGCGATGACCTCCTATTTTCGCCTTAGATTGAGTTTCTAATCCAAAATCGTCATATGTGCTTTTTTATTTTATTAAATATATTAGGAAATGTAAGCTCGTTATACATTTTTATTCGAATTTTATTTGTGTCATCCGGCCGGCACGTCTGCTACGGGTCATCGTTTGTTGATCAACCGGCCGCATTCGAGCATACACCAGAGCATAATTAGAGATGACAGGCATGCTGTGTGCTGCCTACCATCGCAAGAACAAGCTTGTGCGATGTGGTGGAAAATCTTTCTTCTGCTTCCTACGTCAACCTACGGACACCTACGTCAACAAGTACTTGAATGCACTTTTAAACTGCTTCGTCAAGCGAGCGAACGAACAACCCGCCAAAGTCACTGGAAAAAGAAATTCGAAAGCAAAAAAAGGTTACTCACTGCTAGCACATATAGAAGATTGCTGCCTGCGACCAAAACATTTCTGCGACTCTTTTTTAGCGGGCAGTGTGAGCTGCACTACGTTATTTATTTCCCCTGTTTTGTTTTTAGTTCGTACCTACGCCGCGAAAGCAAATAAAGAAATGTATAGCAAGCAGCTGAAAAAAAAGGGACGCATTCTTCTTTTTTCATTAGTTTCGTCTGTTGCTTCCGCTTTGTTTGTCGTGAACTCAACACCGGTAGCGACCACCAGCTACTCATTTGCTGCTTTCCATTTTTCTTTCTTTTTTTCTATAAGCGCCGCAACGATCGTCGTCGTTGAAATAGTTTTCTGCTAGCTTCTTTGTTTTATTCGCCGTTGTTCGCTTCTCTTTCCCGTTTCTTTTTATTTTCGTCGGGAATGGCGACACCATTTTTTCTGCAAAGTTCGGTAAGTGTTCGCACGGTCATTTTTATCCTTACTTTTTGTTTTGTTTTTATGCTCCAGCAGCTCGTGCGCTTGCTCTGGTAATATTAACATATCGTTTTTGCATGTTTAATGATTACGACGTAGTTCGAGTAGCTAAACGCCGTTTTTTCCGCTTCCCAGACGCGTTTCAAACGCGTGTGACCTCCTGAGAGGCGTTCGAGATCGCTAAATAAACTGCTCTATCTTTGTTTATGCGCGCGTTGTTATTCGATTGTCGTTGCATTTGCGATCAGTGGATTCCCCTTTGCAAGCGGACTGACCGTAATAAATTGTTTCTTCTGTTAGGGTGACGAAACGGGGCTTGTAATGCTCGAGGACGTCGCGGAGCCTATACTTTTCCATTGCGTCGACTGCTTCCGTAGACTCCGAGTCCGCTAGAGGCGCCACTGTCACGTTCGCCGCCGCTTCTATGTGTTTTCGGAGGAGTTTCCAGTATTGGCGAAGCTATATCGTATTTGGATTGACCTTACGAGGTTTTGGAAGGGTGCATATTGCCATCAGTATCCCAAGTGCTCCAAAAGGCGCATCTTACTGCAGTCGCGTATCTGATTGCACTTCTACTGAAAGGAGTGACTGCTGACGCCGACTACTGCACCTGTCAGGGTCGAATATGTTCGGGTCCTTCCAGTTGTCCGGGTCACGGTGGATATACTCGATGGCGGCCATCACTGCCGTCCCCGCGGGGATCTTGAGCTTGCCGTACTGCTTGTCCACCACCGCCTCTCTCGTGACAAACCTGCGGAGGAGCGAATGAAAACACGTATTATATTTGTCGGCGAAACTCGGGAGTAAAATGTCTCTCTTAATGTCACGGGTCTCGACAAGTTGTTTGTATTGTCTTCAGTTTCTTCGAGACAAATGCAAACGAGATCTCGGAGGCTTGAGTTGGTGTTGTAATAAGGTGCTACACTCTAAAAAACACCTTTGCGTCTGCTTTCTCGCACAACACTTGGAGAGCCAATCACCGCAACTTACGGAGGCAGCTCAGCGAATGACAATGCCGAAACATATGTTTAGACCAAAAAAACGCAGTCTGAGTTGTGACATTAAGCAATGCAAAACGTCAGGCTTGCATTGCTGAATGTCACAACTCAGACTGCGTTTTTTGGTCTCAACATATGTTTCGGCATCGTCATTCGCTGAACTGCCTCCGTAAGTTGCGCTGATTGGCTCTCCGAGTGTTGTGCGGGAAAGGAGACGCACGGGCTTTTTTTAGAGTGTATAGTCGGTTCACACTGAACATGCTGAGGTAAAATAGCCCAAACATAAATATGAAAAGAAGAACGGGACAGGCCAAAGGGCGAACTCGCAATTCAAGATATTACTATATACAGTTTCTTTTTCAAATTTTTTTAGAAATTTGTTAAAAAAAAGAAGCCGTGAAAACTACACTTATGCTGTTTGTGCAGGTAATTTTAACGGCCAGAGGGAATGGTATATGGGGTTAGTCATAACGATCAGTCGGCTAATTAAGTAACATTTGTTAATTAATAAATTTTAACGAAATTCGTGAAAATAGACCTACGGTTCAAATTAGAAACTTAATTGCTGAGCGTCATCGAAAACTGCTAAACAAATAATTTTTAGAAATACTTTGAGCACGTGGGAAGCTTATTGGTGCGCTAAAGGCATTACTCGTGCAACAGGTACAGTGCTGCGGCTATGATATGAGACGGAAAAATCGCGCGGGTGCCTTACCGCAACCGCTAGCCTTGTACTTGCTCAACGAGTGGTAACTTTAGTGCAGTACTACGCTTCTAACGCGTTCAAATTATCTGAAAATGATTAATTTAGTGGTTTTCGATGACGCTCAGCAAGCTTCTAATTGGAACCGCATGCCTATTTTCGCTATAAGAGGTTAATTAACAAATTTTACTTAATTATTCGACTGATCATTAAGGTTAGGCACCACACTATGTCCCCATGGCCATATAACTGACCTGTTAAAACCGCATAAATGTAGCTTTCACGGCTTTCCTAAAATAAATCTGTAAAACTTAAAAAAAAAACCTGCATAAGTCTTGTCCCATTCTTCTTCCCATCCTTGTGTTGGCGCTAATTTACCTCAGTACGTTGAGTTGGTACTCATGGCACTAGGGGACGCTTCTATGTTATGCAGATTGCAACGTAAGAACTGTGAAAATCCGCTTCCCACATAGGACAAATATCTACCCAATGTGCCCAGACGTATATGGTTTTGGACGGAGATTTGTTTTTGTTAATTCCGATCTTGAAGTAAAGGGAGCTTGCGGACGCTCCTTCATTATGCCTCGTTCACACTGGCGGTTGAACCGCATTCGCGAAGCCGTTGCAAAATGCGGCGCGCAAGCTTAGTAGGAACCATTTTTTTTTCTTCGAGAGCGTAGTTTGTGCGCATATTCTGTTTCTGAGCAGAAGCATGAGTTGGTCTACAGCAGGGGTCTCCAAACCCGGGCCCGCGGATGGCCGTGGTCTTTACATTGGCGCCCGGCTTGCAGCCCACTGCTACCGACGCAAAAAATAAACGATCGTTAAAAAAAAAAAAAAAAAAAATTGCGACGAGATATTTACCAAAAGCGCAAGCGAAGATTTCAGAAAGAATGAGAAAACTGTTGTGACGCTATTCGATATTCGCTTCGATTTGAACTCAGATATTAGTATTTTTCGATATGTTGATCGTAGCGGATCAGCCCCGTTGAGCGGGTTTCTCACCGAGCACCGCTGCACTGCGGAGAAGCAACACCCGCGGAGCTCGCTGCCGCGGGTGTTGCTTCTCCTCAGTGCAGCGGCACTCAGTATAGAAGCGCGAAGGCCGGTTCTCACATGCAGCGAAGCGCTGATGTAGCGCTCCTCACGTGTCGTCAGCTACTTATCGTCTGCCATGAGAAACAGTTTTGACGGTGCGATACAAAGCTGGTGAACGCTGCCGTCAGCACGCTCTAAGCGCGAGGTTAGCGCTATGCTTGTAGCGCTCCGCTGCATGTGTGAACAGGCCTTTACCCGCCGGGATCAACACTTTCAAAAGTACAAATATTGCAGTCACTTTCTCAAGAGGAAAGGCCACTTTCAAAGTGGGGTTGTGGACGCGCGCGCGCGGTGTCTGTGAAAAGAAACGAAACATTTGTGAATGTTGAAATCTGCACTACAGCCAAATTTTCAAAATTAAACTTTGCCTATTTTGCAAGGGTATGGCATAGATGTCGTGAAAACATACGTTCGTCATTCATGATTGTCTTTTTATTTTCTTGAATTCTAGTTTTGGTAAAGAATATTCGCTTATAGCAAGAAGATTTAATCAGGTATAGCTGGGCATCTCTCTGTAGTTCGTTTTATGTCAAATGCATCCTTTACTTGCCATTTAAATGTAGGCAATGAACGTTCTGAGGTCACAGTTTGTACATATAGTTAGATTAAAAATAACTTAGCTTACATTTGAACAAGTGGAAGCTTTTGAACAATCTTACGAGCTCACATGGGTTTTCGTTTAGTCATGGTTCAGTAGTGGAAAACTTTAAAATACTATTCGATATTCGATTCAATAATATTCAACCAAAACTACTATTCATTTCGAATTCGCGTCGAACTCAATACCTCAATTCGCACACGCCTAGAAAACTGCATCAAAACATCGGTTTTCTCGGCATATTATTTCTCATACCTTGTCGTCACCAAAATCACTATTTGTAGCTCCCTGCTTAATGTCTGCGTAACTATGAAAAAAAAAAAAAAATCCTGTGCGCTATAGTGTGTATCGTGCATGATCCAATCTGATCTACCATTTTCATAAGTCTTCTGCCCTGTGTGAATATGACAAAGTTCCTATGCGCTTTGATCTTTGTCTGGCAAGTTTTCGGGGTCGCAATTAATTTTTAATGTCACGAATAGTAAAATAGTGCACTTAAAAATCAAGTATATGTATTTGTCAACCTTACATTTCTTTTTGAAAATTTGCTCTAGTTTAAATTTCTGTGCTTAAAGGCCTGTCTACTCCTATGTATTTAGTAATTTCTCGTTTATATTGTCTCATCTAATTTACGGCCCTTCAGACTGAAACAGGTGCCCAATACGGTCCCTTAGCCAAAATGTTTCGAGAACCCTGGGCCCTAAGCTACACGGTGGGATCAAGCGGAACCAAAGGACAGGGACGTCGTCTGCTGCGATTGGTCAGCGCCACGCCACTGACCGATCGCAGCAGACGACGTTAGGGATTTTTCGTAGACCGCGTTTCCCTCTCCGCTAAGTCCTCAGCACCGAAGAAGCCGCTACTGCGCCTGCACGCCGATGGCCTTGACTGTAGACCTCCGGGTATCGTAAGGGGTTTCCGGAAACCGTTGCGGGACGGCAAAAACGATATACGAAAACTCTCTGGTGTCACGGTTACTCGGTCTCGATTTGTCCCGCGATGTATCTATGCATGCATAGGGCCCCTCATCTACAGGGTTCGCGACTGGAGGTAGGGTGAGTCACGTGGTATATACTCACGCGAAGATGGGTGGATAGAGACGCATGGTCTCCGACACGACGCAGTTGAGGTAGGGCAGCTTCTGGACGGTGCTGTATGTGATTTCCTCCTGCGTTTGATAAAACAATTAGCATGACCTCCACCCTAAACCTTTGTACCTCATGTTTGTGGCCACGCAAAATTGTGCATACAGTCTATTCTACGTGGTTGCAATAGATTGTTTGATGACATACTCTGAGGATGTATTGGACACGAGGGCTGTGTCAGTGTTTGATGGACTTTTGCAAAGGGTATGAGGTGGAAGATAGCGTCATTAGCCGTTAAGAGCGCCAAAGAACGATTCACGAAGCAAGGATTGTTAAGAACTATTGCGTTCATCCACTATATTAGTCCACCTTACGCATATTAAGGACGAAGAGTTTCAGACACGTAGCTCAAGACCTCAAGCTTGGTTTATCAGAATCTATGTAGTGTTTTCGTCCTCGACTGCAGCTATAACAACGGGGCGCATCGTTTACAATGCTGTCTGCGTCTTAAGACTTCCTTTGTGTCCGATAAACGGGCAACCCAATCGTGCAATGCATGTAAACTTGAAGTGTGGGAAGGAGTTCAGTAAAAGGTAAGTGAAGGGCGGCGGAAGCTGTCGAGTGAACAGATAACGGTGGCCACGAGAGACAATTGAAAGAGAGTACGTATTCGGTTATCTTTGAGAACAGAGCTAAGTAGAAGCTAAATGCTAGAAAGAGAGAGAAAGAGAGAGAGAGAGATAGCGTACGTCTTGTTCGATGACAGAAAGAAGCTCCCGTCGGACTTTCTCCTGGATTTCAGGATAGTTGACCAACATGTGCGTGACCAGCGTCAGAGTGTTGCTCGTTGTCTCATAACTGCAAACCAAGCAATGCATATATCATGCGTAATAGTTAGGGCTCCGTGTTTTCGGAGTTTATTTTTCGTGAAATTCGGAGGGTGTTTTTCGGAGTTTATTTTTTACCGAAAATTCGGTGTTTATCGGAGTTTATTTTTTTGTAAATCCCAAATTTTCCGAAATTCAGAGATTACTTTCGCAGTGTTTCTTATTAAAATAATAAATATTAAGCAGATGCAAACGTATGCCAGATAAAAAATAAAACGCGCTTGTATCAATTAAGATTTCTTCAGTTGAATTTGGTGTTGGTGTTATTGGCAATACTAATTTGTCCCACGACAGAAGTCGCACACAAGTGTGGCTTCGATAGACGTCGATACCTTAAAATCAATAAACTGCCGGAGATAGCCGCAAGGAAGCTCGTAGTCATCCCATCAATCTATCCCGCGGCCGCGCGTGGTGGAGTGCATGGTTAAGGATGTAATAGAGAAGTTTCAACTGCCCCTCTTCTCTATTTTATACAATCTCTATGGTCTATAGCTTTCACTGTTAACCCCAGAAACATACCCTCTCCTTTCCCTAATTCCCAAATCTCATGGCCCAAACTGGAATACAAAAGAGTGGCTTTTGTCGTGACACGAATGGTACGATGACCTCTTTCCCTGAGCCAACCTTGAGGAGACAAGCCGTAAGATACCCTTTTGACAACTGTCCGAGGCTTGAAATATAATTACGGTGTCTTTTTCCCAGGAGCATTAATTCTGCGCTGCTCAAAGTGTAAAAAAAAAAAAAAAAAAAAAAAAAATTGTTTTGTTGTAGAAAAAGGGAGGAGGCATGGGCACATAACAATTCGGAGTTTATCGGACAAATCCGAATCGACAAAAATTTTACCAGCTGGTGTTTTTCGGAGTTTTTCGGATTTATCCGAAAACACGGAGCTTTAGTGATAGTTAATCACACAAGAAAACGAAAATAGAGGGTTTTAGTAGATCGTTCCAATATTGTCAATACCGGTAACCGTTAACTATACGACGCATGCGCAAAGGCGTCGACGGAGTATTGGGCATCGTTATCGGAGTCGTCGAGAGCACCTACTAAAACACCCTAGCTGGTATCTGAGCAAAAAAGTAAGAGCGCAAACAAGCTGGTGTAAATTTACAAAGAACCCAGAAATGTATTCTACGGTAGACTGTTTACATAGTAACCCAACACAAAAAAAAACAAGAGCACTCACAGAAAATTATGTTGACTAGAACCGCCGTCTTTCCATTAATTAAAGAATGATGCTTATTTGTGGAAAAATGGTGGTTCTCCTGTTTATTTTGTGTTTGTATACTATAAATTTCAGTTGTGTTTGAGACTTCATCTTTGTACTGTCCTTCTCTTCCCTCGGTGTCGGAGTTATTTGCAATTATTTAGAATATATGCTGTCTTTTAAGTTAGGACCTATGTGGTCGGTGACTAAAGCGAGTTATATAGACGTAAAGCTCACTTACCCAGCAATGAGTACAAGAAACGCGTTCTGTGTAATATCGTCATCATCCAAAACAGCTTTTGAACTGTGGGTAAACCCGTTGGCAAGCTCTGGGAGGAAAAAAGAAAAGAAACAAACACGGTTACTCGGTTTGACATTATCGATGCTTAGACTTCACTTCTTTTTTTTTTTGTTTTCCCAAAATCACTGGTAATTTATGAAACGTATGACGTTGCTTATTGTCTTCCCGCTTCTTGTTTTGTTATTCGTTTTTTGGCGCTGTGTGGCATTTTTATTGGATTCGGAGCGATTATAAGATGCTTGGAATACGCCGCGCTATATTAGTTCCAAAGGATTTTGTATTCGTATATCTAGAGTTGGCCTTTTGTTTGCACAGTCGGAAACCTGCCACTGCGAAGGCTTACGGAAGGGCACGCAAGACTAAAGCCAGTCTGCGTGATTGACCGTACCCTAGTTTCCGATCGGCTGCTAAATCCTGCATAGCTAAGGGTTCGGAACATCTGTCACTAAGTTCCTTCGTGCCTTCCAGAGAAATGCAGCCCATGTCATGAAAATGCGAACTTTTGAGGGCACAGTTTCTCTCAAAGGTTATGGGAGAGCTCTCGAGATGCATCGTCCATGGCGTATATGGTTCCAGCTAGTGCCACTAAATAAGCTTATTTAGTGACTCTAGCTCCAGCATGTATCCCTGCATTTCGTAAGCAGACGGCCAGAGGAGCGGCCGACAGGACACTATACTTCATTTCAGCTCAAGTCAGACGCAGTCGACGTTACAAGGTAATGGGATTAATAATGCAGCGTCAAGGTGCAAGTCCCCAGATTTTCTTTGTTTATGATTTGTTCAGCGACCATAGAACACGTACAGAAACATGACGAACACCACGATGCTGCGCCTCTGAGGCTGTCTGAGTGGTCACATAAGCTCTTAGCGTCGGCTACATCTGGACTTAGGGTGAAACTAAGTATAGATTGTTTGTCAGCCAGTTAAAAGTTATGCTAAGGCCCTATTCAATACGATACAATTTAGCTTTGTCTGCGACCTTTTTCTCTCTTCGTCAGTTCTATTGTTGTTTTGAAGATGAACTGGGAGAAACAAGTTGATCGCTTGATTGGCCACTGGCTAGAGCATTTCCTGATATCACTCTATACAACGTATTTCCGACGAGTCACTCACGAGATGCTGGTTTTTGTTCAGGGTCGTTGTCATCAGCAGCAGTCAGTTGATCCGACGTGACGCTCCCGACATCTACTCTGGACTGCTTGGCTTCGATCATCTGTTGCAGCAGGTCTTTTTGGTGCACCTGCTTTGAAACGGTCACGATCAATCGGCAATCGTTTGACAAGATTGTTTTCCGTAGTTACCACGTTGTTCATTTGGCGCTGCATGACTATGCTCTTGCACTTTTCCTGGACCTCGCGAAAGGGATGCACTCCATTGTTGAGGCTCTTCATCCTGAAGTCGTTGAGGTACCTCAAGAAGAATTCCAATTCCGGAAAAGCAGCTGTAAACGAAAATACTGCTATGTAAACGACTAGAGCGTTACGGCAACTACCTTGCTCAAGAAGTCAAGCACCGAATAAGCGCAATCGCTTCTTTTTTGTTTTATTTTTTAAATTGCAGATTTTCTCATAACTATCGTACGGTGCACTCAGCTTTTTACCAGATATATTTTATGCACGTGTTAGATCGTTCAACGGCTTCCTTAGTAATTGGTAATACACTATTTGGCAAGTATAGATACTGTTTACTAGTGCTCTCGGGCACTGAATCACTGTCATATACGAAGGAACTCAGCAAATGACGAGAACAGAACTATGAGGAGGTCTGCGATGGGGGCGCCGAAACGCCATGCACTGTGTCGTATTCAGATTCGGCGAGCTCCCTCTGTAGATTGCGGTAATTAGCTGTTCGACCACTCTGCTCCAAAGCACACGCACCGGCGTTTGTAGCGTGTATGACGCATTGCAATGCCGATTAAAGGGATCTTTAATAGCCATCAACATTTTATCTTTATGTAAAAAAAAAAAAATATGTTGTTTGAACCTCTGACGTTGTTTCGCATTATTTTTATGCTCGACGCCAGCGTATCTCGTCCACGTTCTTGGCACTCCCAATACAGTTAATGCGCTGAAGGACCAAACGTTGATACGCTTACTCAGCAGAACGGCGATGATGGAGAACGTGCTGCTGAAGAGCATTCGACTGCTGACCAGGAAGCTGTGGCTCGGATGCTGCTGGAGGTTGTAGTTGATGCCCATGGCGCTCCGGCAGATGACGTCGAGCGTGAGTGCCTGGTACATGTCGCCGATCTCAAACTCACTTCCGGTCTTGGCTTTCTGGTCAAGCTTGGTCATCAGCTCTTGGATGGTTTCGATGACTCCCGCTGACATCTGGTGAGGATTAAGGAGTATATCTGTTGGTGACAATGGTTCCGATGAAGCTAAAGCTAGGCGGAGTGCAAGTTCGTCTGCTTCTTGCACGCCGGTTCCGATAGTGTCAAAACGCCGACCTCTTATTGACTGATTGAAAAACAATTGTGGGTAGACTTCAAGGAATCTAGATTTGAAGTCTACTCACCATCCTTTCAATCAAAGCCAATCAGAGCTCAGCGTCTTTCTGACGTCACCGTAACTCCTGTGCAGGAAGCAGACGACTTGCTCTCCCCATAGGAGCTTTAGCTTATTCCGGGTCCACGTTTTGGGCTGCCGCTCTGCGGCTTCCTTGTACGGCCAATGGGGAATCGTGGGTACGGCCAATGGCAAATCGTAGCGTCGTCAGTTTTTAAAACTTGGAATACACTATCGACTGGATTACGTTTTACGCCTCCTGCTTAGATGCGAATTTGGTACCAACTTAAGAAATGCCCAAGTTTTGCTTAGCATTGTTAAGTTCGTTCGGACACTACCGCGGATCTCAGCTCCCCGGGTATAATTCCATGCGGCGTTGTGACTCAAACATATTCGATGCTTCGGTAACACTCACTACATGTGAACAGGATCAACATAAATACAGTCACCATTCTGAGTTTGTTGGAGGTGAAGGACGGTGTGAGGACACTTCGCACTTCTTTCCAGCGTTTTCCCGTCAACTGGATGAGGCTCTTGTTTTGGGGACTCGGAGGTCGTTTAGATTGAAACAGGAGCTGTGGGCGAATAAAACAACGAAACATAAAAAAATAACAAAAAACTTACGCTGATTATTTACGGCGCACCTTTGTGTGTCCACACTTTGCATTGGAGATGCGATTTACACAAATAAAGGTTTGGTGAGACTAAAGCGGGCATTTCTAATCATTCTGTAAATATTTTGATTCCGTAACACTTGTAAAAGTAGGTTATGCTTAGAAAGGTGAAGGACGTATCTTTGGCTGTAATTTTGTTACATTGAAATTATTACGCTAAATAAAACCATCTGCAACGCAAATTGGTTTAGCCGCAATGCCCGCTCCTAATAATAAAAACAAAACAAAACAAAACAAAAACACTTTAAAATGGGCAGGACGTTCCACAGTGATCAGTGCCACAACGCAGACTGCTTTTGTTTTCTTAAGTCTGAACATTTGATCAGCCCCGTCAATCGCCGACCTGCCTTCGTAGATTGCAGGGGTTGACACCTCCATGTGCTTTGCAGGAGAGCAGACACACGGTATTTCTCAGTGTGTAGGGCCAGCATAGGCGGACCCGGCAAAATGGTGACTCACACTCCGGTCAATGAAATCCTGGAAGTCCTTCACTTGCACGTTCTTGAGGAGCTCAAGATCGGCGACGAGCAGCACCGGTCGGTAGCCGTTGAAGTACCTGCAGATCGCGAAGTGTCGGTTATTCAAGGTGCACGGCAGTTTCGCCATGTCGGAGTGATCGGTGCGAAACTCGCTTGCTCACCCAACGACTTTTCCGTACTTGTCAATCCATTCCCTGTAAGCCACTGTTGGTGTCTGCGAGTGAGAATTAGTTTTCTCACTGTTAGATTGCATGGACTGGGCGAGGGAAAGAAAAGCTTTCCCTCATTATTTTTTCTTTTTTTTTTTTCGCCCGGTAGATAGTTGCTGCTGTTAAAGCGACCGCAGTCTCTGACAGCGCGAGCACGGCGGGAAGGAGTTTCAGTTGTCCCACTTCCAGCGCGAGGCTTCCTGCCTTCGATGATGCTTCGGTGTCTCGTGAGCCTCGAGCGTGCTCGCGCTCAGCCAAAGCATGACGGAAGGCAACGACCACGTGCTGGAGGTCGGGTGTACCGAAGAGACGCCCTGCCGTTTTCACCCTATTAGCTACTAGGGTTTGTCTCACTTTGAACGTCAGTCTTTCTATGAACAAGGTTACAATCTGTCGCTCCGCTATATAAGTAAAAAAAAGAAACACATGAATGTGAGAAATAATGAGGTGACGCATATGTCACAATCTGGCAAAGGGAGGGATGATTTGATGAAGCAATCGTTATGTTTGGGTAATACTCTGACGATTTCATTGAAGTTTTTTTCTTTTAAGTAAATGACGCTCGCTCGCTCGCTCAAGTTTTATTGGCCGCTTGTGGCAACACGGTACAGCTCGAATGAATGATGCATATATGATATGATGTAAACAGGAGCGGCGGTATTAGGATCTGGCCTAACGGAGCACCGACCGGCATATGAACTGCGGAGAGCAAGTCGTCTGCTTCTCGCACAGGGGGGGGGGGGGGGGGGGGGGGGGGTGTTCCGGTGACGTCACCATGGAGGATAGTGGGTAGACCTCAAAGCAGGCTGCCTTGAGGTCTACCCACTGTCCTTCAATCAGAGCCTTCTGACGTCACCATAACACTCCGCAAAACAGGCAGTCGACTTTCTGCTCTGCGGATCCGGGCAGAAATCGCGCTGCTTGCCGAGCAGATTAGAGCGCGGATTCGTCATCTTAAAGGAAAAGAACACTCGCTATTCGCTGTTTCTTTTGTATTTATAATCGTATAAATCTCTCGTTTTTATTCGTTTGTACGTTTATTGATTATCTCTGCGAATGTCCGTCTATTTCTAACTTGAATCTGTATTATTATTCTTTTCTCAAAGCGGAAAGGCGTAAATCAGGAGCTCTTTTTTTTTGTAGGTTTGTTGTGCACTAACGCAGTCACGAGCGAACCTGTAGTAACACCACCTCTGTTTCACACCATGTCTGACACAGCGCAGCCGATGCTGTGATCCCACGTAGTTAATCAAGTAGCGCTGTTTTTATGTGTCTTCTATCACCGGCTGAACCAATCACGGTCACGCCCTGATCCCACGATTCTTTCTGTGCGCGATTGGCTATTTTTCTTTTTCCTTTCGTTCTCAGTCACGTGGGTTCCGTCTCTGGTATGCGGGACAAAAAATTTATAAAGCATTTCAACCTGCAGTATGCGAGAAAATATAGGTGAGTCAAAATAAGAACGTGTGACAATCCCGCATTTTTCGTAAACATCTTCCAGCGGCGTGCAGAGATCAGAAACACGTTTTACCGCATACCGGAAGTGACGACATTCAAGATGGCTGCGCCCTGGTGGAAAAGGTGTGTGCTTTTGGGTGATAGCTCCAGCACACAAAGACGACGAACGCCGCGACGATGCATTTTTTGGGCGCTGCTCGATTGTTTCCATCCGATCGTCTGCTCTTAAACTCGGCGGGAAACGGAGTAGAAAATAGAGAGTTTGAGGGAACCGTGTTTGCACGTCCGAGACGGTATACAATGGGCCCTCCCGTACGAACTGCGCATGCGCGAGACGTCTACGGTATAGCGCATGCGCAGTTCGTGCCGGAGGGTCCATCGTATACCGTATCGGGTGTGCAAAAACGGTTCCCTAAAACTCTCTAATAAGCGACGCACGCGTGAACGGCCTTCACGTACCATAACGATGCCGAGCGACCCGGGGGCCCAGCTGAACGACGCTGATCGCTTGCACACTCGTGTCTAATCTGTGTCTGCGCTCTCGATCTCAACTCTAGTGGATGCTATAGACGAAGTACCTGCTGTATAACAGTGTTTCACGAAAGGTGGACAGATCCAATATTTCAAAAACTACGCATCACACACAAACACACACACAAAAAAGGCTTCTGTTGTCTTGGCTTTAGGCCAAGGGCCGATTTAGAAAAATTAATAGAGTTCGAGATAATTGACCTGTTAAGTATTTTCGCGAAATTAATTTTTTAAATATTGAGTTTAAGGGCATGATTTCAATTAGAATCTTGCTGAGCATCATCGAAAAACACTAAATCAACAAATTGTAGAACTATAGAAGGCACGCGCGGTATTTTACGACTTTCTCTATAGTTCTGCAATTTGTTGATTTAGTGTTTTTCGATGATGCTCAGCAAGATTCTAATTGAAACCATGTCCTTCAACTCAATATGTATGAATTTAATTACGCGAAAATAATTAGCAACTTAATTATCCCGACCTTTAATATATATATATATATATATATCTTTTTTTAAATACAACCCTGGCCTAGAATCAAAACGACACAAGCCTTTTTTTTTTTTTTTTTGCGCGGTGTGTAGTTTTTTTAATATCGAATTTGTCCACCTTTCGTAAAACACCCGCAGCACAAGTAAGAAAATCGGGACATTGAAAAAAAAAAAAAAATTCCACTCCATTTTTTTGATAGACGAACTATATACACGCGCGCGAGGGTATTTGCGGTACGAAAATCGCGAATGTGTTTTAAACCAGTGTGTGGTTTGCGTATACGTGCAGTAAATGGGAACTTTTCGTAGATCGTACACGCGCCATGGCAGATTGTGAGCCTTGTGGGTGAGTGCTCAGCCCGTGCTCAAAGTGACGGCACAAGTTTCCTTTAGCAACCCACAGTTCCTGCGTACACTCTACGAAAAGACTGACAATTTTTTGCGTATGTAAACCTTTTTTTAACAATGTTTTTTTATAATTTGTTTTTCGCCCGTACACCGGATAGTATTTTTTTTTTTTTTTTTCCACGCTTCACAGTTTAAGCGGCTTTCTTTGTCTAGGCTTATTTAGCGTCAGGAGAGCCCCATGCTTTTTACTGTTCGGGTCGCCGTTTCGCATTAACCCGCCCCCCCCCCCCCCCTTTTTTTTTTCCACAGAAGTTTTTTTTTAATGACTTTTCAAATACCGCTTACGATTGCGGCAAAGAGCCACCTCCGAGGACTTCGATATCGCTCACCTTTTTGTATAACTCCATCATGTTGCCGAAAAATATGCTGGGTTCCGGTCCGGGAATCTCCAGCTTCTTGAAGTAGTTGAAGTGTTGCCTCCTCTTTCTGTTTGGACGTCGCAAAAAAGATAAACATACGACTCTTAGTAGAAAAAAGAAGTGCTCGTATTTTTGTTGGGATGAAACAAGTTATACGGGGTACCGTTCTGACATGAGTTTCGGCCATGTTCGACATTTTAAAGCGCTACTTTCACGCGGGAACCCTCTACGGGCGCTCGTGTCGGTTTTCACGTCATGTTTTTCACGTGACACGAATTTCCCCGCTAAATTTAGAGGGAAAATTAAAGTCAGTTTTCAAGTCGCCGTGTCACGTGACTTGGGGGTCACACGACGTGATCACGTGCATGACATGGCGTCACTCTGTCACGAGATCTGACGTCACACGACGTCGGATCACGTCACGTAAATTTCCCCGCCGAATGTAGCGGGGAACTTGTGACGTCACGTAGCAACGGGTTTACGTCGCCCGACACTGCGACGTCACGCGACATTACGAAGTCACGTGGCGCCACGATGATTTCCCCGCAAAATTTATCGGGAAAAAATGACGTGACGGGACGTCAATTTCCCGCCAAAGGCCAAAGAGAAGACCGCGCGAGTGCACGGCTGCCCACAGCTTAGGCTTCACTGCCAAGAAAAGTTGTCCCCAAATATAGCAATGTTCTTTTTTTTCTTTTTTTTCTTTTAAACGAAGGAAAAAAAGGTTACACTTACACGAACCAGCGTACCACAAAGACGATGCTGCAAGCCGCCACCAACTCCCACATCACCTTCGTAGGATCCATCCTCGTCTTTGGTGAAGAGAGGTTGAAGCACCGGTGAGTCTCGACGTTCCGTGTTTCCTCGATAATCCGGCGGGACACGCAGCGAAGGCTGCAGCCACGAGATCGTAAAAGGCGTGTTTCAGAGCGAGGAGTCACCGCCGCCGTCCGACGTTCTAACCCATTCGACGAGTGCAGTGGGCAAGAAAGACATCTAGCCTTACAGTCTATACCCCCTAATCCTACCAATCAGAGCTTGGCGTTCTGACGTTTCTCAAGCTTTCATTGACTATATTTATACTATAGACCAACACAACGTTGTGACGTCACGGCACTGCGGTGGCGCTGCTGTTGGCACTGCGCATGCGCAGGCGCTTCAATTCTACCTTCCCGCGATGACGTAAGCACGTGTAACGAACGTCTCATTAGGGGGTCCTCGGATGGATGGACGGATGCTAAGGGCTGTACACTCTTTATAATGGGCGGCAGCTTGCGCCACCTAGACTAGAAATCAAAAGTATGATTATACTAATAATAAATGACTTTATTTCGCCAACAGTTTACACGTGGAAGGTGAAAAGGGGAAAAAAAAAGATGTAACACAGCTTGACTAATCCCGAGGCACCTAAATATCAGTTGAGACGCGGGCACGAAAATTAATTACATATGATTAGGAAATAAATAAAAACGCGAAGATATCTTTTACACGAGAGAAAATTTGACTAGTGGCATTATGTAATGCAGATTCAATTTGAACAGATGAGAGTATTAGCAGACAAAACGTGGCAAAAAAACAACTTCAACCGCCAAAAATTAACACTTTTCTTCTATTCATTTTGGTTCAACATAAGTACACCAACACTTAGCTTCTATTAGGTTTGGTTTGCGACGAGTATGATTAATTCCCGTAAGGCTGCTCACCGACACATTGTTAAGTTCTATATTTTCTCTACTGAACTGATTCAGTGTAGTCGGAAGGGTGTAACGTATTGTTCATAATTAGTTCTGAAGAAATGGTACTTCCCATTGTTCTACAGTTCGCGTTGGATATGCATATACCTTTTTTTGTAAGGTTTGCTAAGTCTTCGAGATAATGTTGGGATTGATTTTTTTCTACCATATATTTCGAACATAACTGATATTTGTATAAATCAAAAAAATTCATTACTCTAAGTTGATTAAAAACAATGTTCATTTTATAATCCAGCGTAACATTAGAAATGCATGGTTCTTAATATCTTTTTTTTTGTAATATAAATATCTTTTGAAGATTGGTATATGTAGTAGTTCCCGATATAAGATGGTCATAATTTATATGCGAGTAAAACAATGTATTATATAATAATAACTTTTTTTGAGAGGCAAGATGTGTTTATGATGATATAAAACACAAACGATGTGTTTGTGTTTTGTGTGTTTGTGTCCCATGACATGTTTTTGCTGAAAAAAATACCTAAAGTTTTAAATGTGGGTACGATTTCAATTTTCGAAGAATTAAAAAAAAAAAAAATATCTTCGGAAGTGTAGACATATTTATTGCTTGGTCAAAATAAGACTGCTCTTGTCTTATTGGCAATTATTTTTAGAGCATTACATTTATACTCCAACTATCGAGTTTTTTAAATATTTCATTGGGGTCACGTATAAGCTCTGCGACTTTTTCTCCGGTAAAAAATAAACTAGCATCATGAGCGTAGATAAACGAAAATCGTTGTTGAACTTACGTTTACTATATCATTTATATAGATATTGAATATTAAAGGCCCCGAAATACTCTTCTGGTAAACGCCGGACTTAATCGGTTTTATTTCAAATGACTGATCATTTATATCTACATACTGTCCGCGGGAAGACAAATATGAATTTAAAACAAGTGACACTTGGCCACGAAGTCCATACACATTTAATTTCCTAATTATTAAATTATGATCCACGTAGTCAAATGTTTTAGTGAAGTCGACGTATAAACCGAGAGTAAGTTTTTTAATCCTCAAAAGTTTTAAGTATATGTTCTTTTTGGGCTAACAGAGCAAGTTCGGTAGAGCGATGTTTACGGAAACCAAATTGACATGAATCTATTAGGTTGTGTTCATCCCCTCGGATAACGGTTTCTGTCTCTGTTGCACCGGCTGGGATGATTATAAGTTCTGCACAATCGTTCTTTTTTTTTTTTTTTAACGCGGATATAAATAGAGCGCGTTACACTAGGTAATTGCGTACGATACGCGGGGTCATTGGACGAGTTGTCACGGTGCTGCGATATAATCGAAATAGCAAAAAAATAAAAAAAAATAATAAAAATTGCCCCAGTACATGTCACGACACGAATCATCCAGTTAAATACCTCCGCGACGAGGACACCTCCCAAGGAAAGAGATGTTGAATTGTGCTTAGGGAGTGTCGGTGCTAGAAAAGTTTTAACCTTTTTTTTTTTTTTTTTTAAGTTTTGAATAGTTTGGTTAAACTACCGGAGGAAAAAGAAAAAGTACTCGTAGAGTGCACCATACAGCAAGGCTCTTCGCGTACACACTTACGTTAAGTGCAATCGTGAGGAGAGCTTTCAAGTGATTTTGTGCGGCTCGAGAGCCTTACTGTAACCGCTCATTCACACTGGAGGCGGATCCGCGTTCGCAAAGCGGTTGCGAACGCGGTTGTATAAGGATCCAGTACAATTGCACGCGCACTCGATGACATCAAGTGCGCGTGCAATTGTACTGGATCTTTATACAACCGCGTTCGCAACCGCTTTGCGAACGCGGATCCGCTTCCAGTGTGAATGAGCGGTAAGAGCTTGCCCCACAAGTGCGGCTGAAGTCTGATTCATATGATGCAATTTCACGTTAGATTTCGCAAATGCAACGTCGCTCTTGCGGAAAAAAAAAATTACGGTGGGAGTTGTGTTGGAAATTGTGGTTCTCGACGGCCTCAACTGCGAAGTCGCATGTAAAATCGCGTTTTATGAATCGGGCTTCATATCTGCGGATTACGAGTAAAAAAAAAAAAAAAAAAAAATCAAAACATGTGACTGCATTTGTGCGCGCATATCATACAGGTTATAATTTATAACTAGGGTTCTGCGTTTTCGGTTTCTATTTTTCCAAAATTCGGCGTACGTTTTTCGGTGTTTATTTTAAAATTCAATTTTCGGTGTTTTTCGGCGTATATTTATGCCCACAAAAGTTTATCGACTTTTTTCGGTGAATATAAAATAAACACCAACGGACACCGGATCGGATGATCCTTGTAGCTCTGATACTTGTGATCACTCAAAGAATAACGGCATAGGTACATTGAAAAGAAAATGGACCCTTTATTTGGCAAATGTGTGCAGCTCTAAAAGAAACAAGGAAAAACCTGAGAAGCATGAACAAGTCAGATATAAAGCCTATGCCCGAAAAACATAGAACTTCACCTTCTGTACATCAGGATTACGTTATCTTATAATAGTACACCCAGATGTACGTTCCCAGGTTCTCCTCGTTGATCCGCAGCCTTTCTTTCCTGCTGCTATGGCCCTGAGCTTCGAGAATGCCCTCTCAACACTAATACTGGACACTGGCAGGCTGAGAGGAAGCGCTGCCTGAGCCAAACTCGGTTAATCAACCAATTGTGACCGCCAAAAGAGAGACGGTGCGACTTTGTGAAGCTCAACACAGCATGCAGAGCTTGCATCAAGTCAGTCTTCCTTAAAACGAGTTTGAAAACACGCTCGTACATGGCAAAGTTATGGGGCATTTCGGACTTCAAGTTTCGATCGATGATGCGCACATTAAACCAAAACGTCGTGATGGCATCCGTGTATCCCATACATTCGGACACGTTTCGAAAGACACTGTTGTTCCACGTTTTCGCCACGGCTCTGCGGTACGACTGGAAGGTCAAAGTGACATTTTCCGGTTAAAACTGAATTTTAGAAAATTGATTCGACATACTTTTATCGGTTTTAATAAAAAAATGCCGAACCTAAAAACTGACCTTTTTCGGTTAAAACCGAACTTCCGAAAATGGATTCGGCGTACTTTTATCGGTTTTTATCGGTTTAAACCGAAAACTCCCAACCCTATTTATAACTAAACCTTTTGTCGGTATCTCCTCTGCCATAGAGACATAAGGGTGCAAATTTCTGGTATCCCGTAATTCCGTTTAGCTTACTTTAGGTTCTCTCATATAGCTTTGAAGGCGCATTTGAAGTAGTAGGGGCAATCTTAGCCATCCTTCAGAATTGATGGAAGTAAAATGGGAAATGGCAGGTTTTCGTTTTTCTGCTTTGAGCATGAATGCTTTACTTGCAAGTGCGCTTAGGTTACGGGCGCCTGATCGAGTCGCCATGACACATCAACAATAAAATGAAGGCAACTACCTCAACTGGAACAGAAGAAAAGTCTGGTCTTAAAGCCCATCGAAACTCCCCGTCATCAATTAACTTAACAACCTCTAAAAAAAAACAAAAAAACTGCAACAGTATTTGTTTAATTGCAGGCTTCTGTAGGATCGCATTACGCAGCAGGGGGCCTTGTTAGAATTGTAACGTTGCAAAGGTGCGTTAAGATTTTCAACGTATAAAACCAGATTAAATAAAATAGTTCAAGCTCAAAAATGTGGGAGAAAAATCGAAACATCAAGCTCACCGATGGTCACGAGTTTATCAGGCAAGTGGTCAAGAAAATCAGCCCGCGAACTCGAAATAATTTGCAGTTCACTTTCGAATGCGGATATGTCCACTTGGTCAACGCAAAGATCCTCCACGTCAGCGTTCCCACTGTCCGAAAGTCGTTCACGCGTCAGGGAAGGCCCCTTATATAACGGGTGTCGTATCAGTCTTTGTTTTAAAGAAAAAAAAAAGAAGAAAAGAAGGAAGGGCTCGCGACCTCGTATCAACCTATCAGGTACGTTCCTCTCGGTCTACAGGGTCCGGCTGCGCAGATTGCGCAGCGAAACTCCTGCCTTTCCCGCCCAGGGTTCGAAGCGGGACCATCAACAATGGAGTCCTTCTGCACCTCGATGTACTCCAACGGCCTTGCGGGCCGCCTGCCAGAACCTC